CCACCTACAGGTGGTGCTAGACAACACAGCTCTCAACAGGATAGCAGCCGAGAGACTGAAGATACAGAAACCTACCTTTTCTCAGATCAACCAACTGGTGAGTCTTCTATGGCATGTAACGCGGTATGCGTTGCACAGGATAATGGATTGTATACAGTGGGTGCCGAGAGACTGAGAGTGTAATAGTGTTTTTGAAGGTCAAGATTGTATAATATGTAGTTTTGATTATTACAGTGGAACCCCTCTCTAAGGACACTCTTGAAATGAGCATACCTCTCTAATAGGACGTCTTTCTTTCCCCATGAACACTTCTCGCATTTAGTTAAACACCTGGGGACATCTCGCTAATATTGACGCTTTCTTCTGTCCTATTTTGTCCAGGTAGTTAGAAGGGTTCCACTGTTGTAGTTCCGATTAATTGACACACATGATTTTCTGCAGGTGTCCACAATTATGGCAGCTAGCACCACGACCCTGCGTTACCCTGGTTACATGAACAACGACCTCATTGGAATGATAGCGTCTCTCATTCCCATACCTCGTCTCCACTTCCTAATGACAGGGTACACCCCCCTCACCACTGACACTACTGTGAGAGCTCTGATGTGTTTCTATAATGTCTATTATATTATAGTTCACCCAAACTTCGGTAGTGTAAAGCTTTACACTGAACTGGATACCGTTCCCTTTTTTGCATGTATGTTTGTGCAAATATTTGTGGATACACAACTGTTTTTCTCAAAAGAGTTCCACACTCTAAATTAGCCCCGGGCATAGGTATTAGATTTTTTTTGCCTACTATAAAAAAAACCTATACCAGCAACGGAATTACTCTGACATTTTATAAGGCTAGATTGAGACAAAAACGTGACACAGACAGTTGTGGGGATCAAATGTATTATTGCCACTAGCTATGCAGTGCTCGCGTTAACAGTCGGTCAAAAAAAAGTAAGCACCGTACTATGCATTGCATATAGTAAGCACGCACCATGTAGCACATGAAGTTTATACAGTCACTTAGCAGTTTGAGGGACTGTAATACCACCTGTGAACTTTCTACATGACTGTTTCTAAGCCTCTATCTGCCAGGACCACTTGGTAGGTTGTCCGGCCAAATTTACCAATGATCTGACACTTTGTCGGCACAAACCCAAGACCTTATCATCGCATGCACACTGCTATATGGCACGTCCACAGGGAGCGAGTGTGCGTAAGACGACAGTTCTGGATGTGATGAGGAGACTGTTGCAGCCCAAGAACGTGATGGTGTCCACACCACGACAGAGGCATCACAACCACTGCTACATCTCCATTCTCAACATCATTCAGGTGAACCACTCTCTTCTTGTAGTAGCGTTTGTACGGGTAAACTTGAAGTTTTGAACTGCAGTGCTATTATATATAAGGGCACCCTGAAATGAAGACACTTTCTAATAACAAGCTGTTTTTTCCCCTCAATAAGCAGTTTTTTGCTTGAAATTTAACCCCTAGAATAAGAACACCTCACTGACTTCCTTCTGTCCAATTGGTGCCAGAATTAGAGGGGGTTCCACTGTATGTAATTAAGCTCTGAAAGTCTCAATAAACAGTGCATGACATTGTGTACGTCGTATAGGGAGAGGTGGACCCAACGCAGGTTCACAAAAGCCTCCAGAGAATCAGAGAAAGGAAACTGGCCCAGTTCATTCCCTGGGGACCTGCCAGCATTCAGGTCAGTCACATACATACCCACTCCTCACGGTGTATTATAGAACTGAGCTTCTATACTTTACCGTTTATGTTGGAAACGATTCACTGAGGTTCTATTCTTTAGCATACATACGTTGAGAATGATTATTCTAGTGTCCGATATAATATTAGTATAGGTAATAGTGCAGTTTGGTGTGGTATTAGGGATTAATAGGGATGGAATTTTTCAAAATAGTATTCGGCTTCGCCTCATACTATTTGGAAATGTCCATCACTATATCCCCAATCCACACCAAACTGCCATCACATGTTAATAGTATAGTGCTGTATAGAAGTGATCAGTGTGTTATATAGATTAACTCTAGTCATGCTCACAAGATCTTTCTGCGACACTTGTTCTGGAGCTGTAACGTTATGAGTATTTCATCATTGATTTCCTAGTCACTTGATTTGATTGTGCGATTTCTCTGCGGAATCTTCAATTTTCCTCCGGGGGTATTATCCAATTGTCTCGAGGTATTATACGGTGACATTATTAATTCTCTATGGATCAAATGTATTGGCGTTTTACATAGTATACTATTATAAAGAAACCTGTGCGGAATAGCTTGCCCAAGCAACGTTATTTGGCATAGCGTGTGAGGAAATACCTTTTTTTTTAAGTTCAAAATGCAAACTAATTGAGTTATTATCATACAAAATGGTCTGGAACTAATCCTACTGAAGTTAAAAAAACTATCACTGAACATAGAGTTCTACTTGCTCCAGACAAAATGTTTTCTCCCTCATCATTTCTAAACGCCAAATTCACTAAATTTAATGGAGCGCCAATATTTCCGGTTTTACAGTGTATAGTCCTCATGTAATGTGTCACTGGATACAACCATCATCTTTGTCTAGTCTACTTTCACCATTTTCTACAGGTGGCGTTGTCCAGAAAGCCTCAGTCAGATCAGCGTGTCAACCGTGTCAGTGGCCTAATGCTGGCCAACCATACCAGCATCTCTTCTGTACGTTGTTAACACAGTATTGCAGCAGAGTGTCGTGGGTTCAAATCCCACCTAAGGCAGCCCTTCCTTTTTCCTCGAAAGAAAGAGTTGTCCTGGGTGTAGTTGACTTGTTTGCTTTGCCTTTGCCTTCCTACCTCATCTTGTTATTGACACATGTACAAGTGAGTGATGATTTTGCTCTTATACATGCGACTGTAGCTGTTTGAGTCGACGTGCAGTCAGTTTGACAAGCTGCGGAAGAGGGAGGCATTTCTGGAGCAGTTCAAGAAGGAGAGGATGTTCAGTGAGGATCTCTCTGAGCTGGACGACTCCAGGTCTGTCTTGGGTATATAGCTACAGTGGGGGACTGTCATGTGCTGCTCTCTGTAAAGTTGTGGGTGGAATGCTTCTGCAAAAATCGATCTCGTGAAACCTGTTTTCCTCCCTATTTCTCTGTGTTCTCTGTCTGTCTGTCTGTCTCTCTGTATCCAGAGAGGTGGTACAGGAATTGACAGATGAGTACATTGCTTCCACTAGAGCTGACTACATCTCCAGAGGCTCTGCTAAGGTACGTACAATATCTCTCTTTACTTCTCTGATGTGTTCATCTGTCTTCTTTTGGTGCACTGTATATAGGTTGAGGGAGCTGCCAAGCCATGATACATGACATTGGATTGTTGTGCACTGACTCCATGTTCTTATTGTCCTGTATACCGTCCATATTGTGATATAGTGAAGCCGACAAAGTGGCCAAATTCAAGTCGGGATGGATTTGCGCATGCGCATATAATCGACCTTTGGACTACCCTTGTGCTGCATTGGCTTCGAATTCGCTTTCTTCTTGGGTTTAGAAGCTGTGTGCTGGCCATGCGTCGTAGGAGTGATCCCAGCGCGTCTCCCCGCGAGGACCGGCCGCCCCAGCAACCGGAGAGCGATCTGGCGTTCACACAGCGGAAGCTGGAAGGGAACTATATCAGTCTGTACGAGCGACTGGACCAGTGGCGCTCCGCCATCCAGGCGGGGCAGGAGGTACTTGTGTGGAGGAGACCTGTTCATACCGCCGTCCTGTATCTGGCCGTCCACACCATCTTTTAGTGAGCTCTGAGGCTTTTTGTAGCTGAAATGTTAAAAATAGAGCACACCTTCATTATCACACTGCTATGAGAGAGAGAGAGAGGGCGGGGTCTGGGCGCGAGACTATAGAGTCCTGGGCCAAGCTCTGAGGCCCTCGTAAGCACACCCTATGTTTCTTATCTATCTCTCTTTCTCTGAAACCAAGCACGTCACCCGCATACCCTCTCACTATGTTTTTCTCCTTGCTATTATACTGTTTTTCTTCTCCGGCACTCAGCCACTTTGCGACGGCCAAGGGGGGGTTCCTGACCCAGGTGAGTACACTGCTGTTCTGGGTCCTGATCGGGGACGCCATCTGGAGAGCAGCCACCAGAGACGGCCAGGGACCAGCTGGAAATAACCCCCAACACAACAACTCCAGGTGTAGTAGTCATACTACTGTCTTTATTTGGCTGTATATACTACTTTTTTTGTTAAGCAGAGGTGTCTGTTACTGATTCATGTGTGTATAGTTTTTTCATGGTATTCGGGAATGTGGCAGTATACAAAGGGGTACGAAAAATAGGAACTGCATTGCATGCGTTTTTGCACTGGGCCCTGTTCAAGTTTCTACTTAACCTTTAGGTACTGCCACATTTCCTTGATAATAGGCTTTCTTCCGTATGCCCAGGGGTCTGTGAGGTCTGTGTGTGATGAGTTTTTCCCTCACTGTGACCTCAGGTCAGTGGGCAGCAGGGGGAGAAGGGAAAGGAGGGAGGCAGGCAGGACTAGAGAGATGGGTGGTGTGGTGGCCTTCGAAAGAGCTCTCCTCCTCTCCAATGAAGAAAGAAGGTGACCTCTAGCATTAGCATACACCTCCCCCATAGTTGTAATAATATGAGCACATTTGTGACCTTCATTCTGAGCACATACTGAGCTGTGTGCACACTGCCTACTTCAGTATATGCACCATCTACCTGCGTGCCTTTGGATTAGACACTGCCTAGGCAAATAAATGCGCCTGCCTTGCTAGCGAGCTTGGTCGCACTTGTACTACCTTCTCAAGTTGTTGTAATGTCAGTTGTTTAACTCTCCCTCTTTCTCTTCTTCTCTCTCTCACTCTCCTCTCTCTCTCTCTCTCACTCTTTCTTCTTCTCTCTCTCTTTCTCTTCTTCTCTCTCTCTCACTCTCCCTCTTTCTCTTCTTCTCTCCTCTCTTTCTCCCTAGTTGCCAGCCGTTCGTACCGTTTGAGGTTGTATGTCTAACTCTGGCTAAGCTGTGGATGTGGATTGACAACATCTGGCTGGCTCTCAGACATTGGAGCATCAATGACCCTCTTATGGTACGTAATGTTATATACTGACCTCTGCATAGGGACTTACATATGTACGTATGTCGTTCAACATGAGCTTTGATACGTGCAGAGTTACTCACCCTTATCGGTATATACCTTGCAACTTTCACGTGCAAACTAAATAAGCTCATATAGCACCACACGACAAGACTGTTGCAGTTAGTTAAAGTGGGCAATCTGAATGTGGTGGCCTTAAAAGAGATATTGTCGCCAAAGGTTTTGCTGCGATGTAACCGCAGCCCTTTCGCATCCCATCAATCATAGTTTAGCCCTAAATTAAGGTGCATATTGGGTGAGCTTTCATGTAATTTGGTAATGTACGGAGTTTCATATCTCTCCTGTATATATCATACCATCAGTTCAGTGTGTCTCTGGCAGTTCCTGGTCTGACACTGGCAGTGGTTGGCAGATATATCTCCACCATAGTCCTACTCTATGTATTAGGTACAGTACGCACTTGTTGTATACAGTGGAACCCTCTCCGAAGTGAAGATACAACATGTCTAACGAGGACCACATTTTCTTTCCCTAGAAACATTTATTGCAAGTTAACCAAGGATATGATGTTTGCGGCACCTTTTTAAAGTGCATATATTTACTGCTCTTATATACTTGTACATATGCACCGGTTCATATCTCTCCTACACTACGTTGTATATGTAGTGATGGGTATGATAGTGTGGCCCTATGTAAGCTACCATGACCTCATCCAAAAGACATCCACTCTTATCTCAACACATTTCCCAATCCTCGTTCAACGGGCCGTCGCCCTCTGGCAGTTTGTCAAGAAACTATGTGAGTTGCTCTTGTGTTGCATATATAGCCCACTAGCCCAAAGTGGAAAGAGCTTTGGAACGCCTAATGTATGGGTGCATGAGGCAAGATTGAGTAATGGCCATTACACAACAAAGTGTGTGAATGTTTGAATGCTTCATTATTCCCACAAGCTATGGTGTATACAGTAGTATGGCTGCTAGATTATGACATAATGAGTGTGCACCTGTGATTTGCAGTGGTGTAAGTACGTATTTATACCTCCAGTGGCTCGAGATGATAACGCTCTAAGTGAGTTCTCTCTAGTCAATGGAGGAGACGATGTTCAAACACAGGAGATGCTGGGAAATGAGATCGATCGATTCATGGGCCACCGGGGAGGGGGGAGGGGGAGGAGAGGGAGAGAGGGGAGAGGAGGGGGGAGAGAGGAGAGAGGGAGAGGAGGAGAGGGGAGAGAGGAGAGAAGGAGAAGAGGAGAGGGGAGGGACTGAGAGAGTAAGGCTAAGACCTCCAAAGGCCGTGAAAAGAGTGGATCCTGGGATGTCTGTGCTCCAGGATTCAGTGCTGGGAATGCATGTAGACGGTAAGTATAGACCACTAGTATTGGCAATTATACAACATCAGTATGTTGCTCATTGCCTAATATTGGACAATGACATGGTGAAGATCTATTTGGACAGTGTTTTACAGTTTTGAGGGAGAAGGTATAGAGCATGGCCAAGCCACCATCACTTTTGAGCAGGACTTTTGCAATTCAGAAGAATTTGCAAAAGCTTTGGTCTGCCTTGTTTTTGCAGTGCCTATTATTCACTTTTGCTCCTTTTAAAGTCCACTTTGTTATTCTCTCCCCTACTTTCCCCAACACTATCGCACATAAATTATGTGCTGTATTCTCCAGCATTTCACGACATTGAGGATTCTCTGGCGTCGTTTGGACCGGGAACTGGGGATTTCCCTTCAATCTCCAACTTTGATCATGACCACAGTCTCCAGCTGCCTCAGTTTCCCTCTGACGATGAGACGGACACCCACGCCACTCCCTCCGTTCCCTCCTAATCTGGCCACCATCCTGGAGTCCGAGGTTTGTCACAACTTTATTCTTTGGGGTAGCTTTAGAGGGAGATATATGTACATAATTATGCAACTGTTGTGATTTTGGTGGTGAACAAAGAATTTTGCATGAGTTTTCCGTGAATGTTGAATGTGTAAATCAGGCAAAAGCAAGTCCACCAGTTTGGCCTTCAACTTGTATTTTAGTAGACAGACAGACACAAAATGGGTGTATTGATTCAGGTGTGCCTCATCACATGCACATTAATCCACTGTTAGTGTGTGAGCTGTTTGGTGCCTTAGCTTTGATGTCAGATAATTCACAGTGTACTTACTGTATGTTTTGTGTCTGTCTGTCTGTCTACTACCAATCAAAGACCACACCAGTAGACTCTTTTTTCCTGTGTTGGTTGCTGTGACAACACTCAGGGTATGTGGGGGCGGTAACTAGACTGCCTTTTTAGCACATACTACTCCATCTATGGGATTTTGGCATAAGTAGATTTAGAGATAATGTTCTTTTGCCCTTTTTTGAGCACATTTGCAGTCTTCTGGGCAAGATTTTAAGCAAGTGGGAGTATCATGTAGATTGGGAGATAAGTGGAAAGTATACCAAACTGGTTGAAATTGGCTTTGCTTGGAGTATAGAGTGGGTGTCATGTGTGAGTCTGATATGTATCAAACCAGGTTTTTCAAAGAGTCAACCCACTCAACTGTAGGTGACCACTTATCAAGAATACTCTAATTGAGCGGAGAAACCTTTCAAAAGAGGACACCTCTGCTGATGTGCCAACGCAAGCATTAAGCGAGTGTTTTCTTCCATTGTAAGTATCGAAGCTAAGAATTTTGCCCACGTTTGTCTCCTACGGAAACACATTAAATTTTTTTATGAGAGTTAGATCATCCTTATTGTTGTAGAGCTACAAATGTTTTCCTTCATTTCAGGAAATCTCTACAGAGGATCTCCTTCCACTGGAAGACCCCACAGAGCTAGAATTTGGGCTGAACTCAGAAGTTATTTCGCGACATCGCTCGGCTAGCCTCCTAGTCTCGGCCCCTCCAGTCGCGAGACCACACCCACCAGTTCATTACTCTGCCAGTGCACCCATCACCGGCTATGCAGACGACTCATTATTGCAGGGGCATGGCTATCGGGACGAAGGACATAGAACACCTCCACCGCCTTACGAAGACGTCATTTCATCTCATGATCATATTCAGGCTGGGTCTTATGGGTTTGCCGTTCAACCAAAGCTGGAAAAAGAAGTTCGACAGCGAGATGTACCTCGAAACTCTAGCACTCCGTTTGTTAACGGACAGCAATAGGTTTTACCGTTCAATGCTTGTCAGAAGCGGTGACGATTTTTTAATTGCGCACGCGCAAACCAGCCCACATCGCGGATCAACTGCGCATGCGCAAACACTCGCATGCGCAAACACTCTTTTTTAATAGCCAGCCCACGAGCGGGCGCGGCGGCGGTATCTAACCAAAAATCCTCTTTGTGCACGTTATATCATCAACTCTTCCCTCTTTCGGTGCTGGTTTAGCTGCATAAAATGTCCAGCCCAGTGCTGCAGCTGCTGCTCGCCTGCGGACTGTTGCTTGCTGCAGTGAACACAGCTAACTGCTCGGTGGAAGCTCCGAGACGACGGAAGATGAAGGCGGCGACTGTGGAGGATGACAGAGAGCGGGAGAGGAACCAGCGAGTTAGGTATACGGCCAGCTGGGCCGTGGAGATCACTAGCGGAGGCGATAAGATGGCAGACGTTGTTGCACGGAGACACGGCTACCGAAATCTCGGCAAGGTAGCAAACCTGCTAGTCATTGAAGCACGTAGCTGTAACATATCGCAAGGTGCGCGCGTGGGCTGGAGCTATAACAATTGTCATTGTCCGCCTACATGCACGTAGCTTACAGATTTCCAGAAGTATGCATCATTGAGGCCAATAATCTGTGGATTTTGCAGGTTGGAAATTTCGACAATATCTACCACTTTGTTCTGGGGGAAAGGGAGAGGGCAAGGGCCCCAACTAATGCTCCGTATACAACCAAGAGCTCTGCACTGCTCTCAGAGAAATCCGTGAGAAAACACAATGGTTTACTGCTCCTATCATGCCACACAATCAGTTGTGTGTGTTTACAGCTCTTAACTCCTTAGATAAACGTCAAGTTATTAGGTTAATGGTTCAACGAAACTTTCACAAATCACTAAAAAACAAAATTTCAAATTACGCTAAATGCTGTAGGCAGACTGTTAGAATGCTTTCACGTGCTTTCCTAAAATCACGACAGTTCATCGAGGTCTTATTCTGCCACCTATTTTGTTGTAAAGGTTGGGTTTGCAGATCAACAGTACACCAGACCTGTGTACAAGCGGTCCTACAGAATTCCTCGAGATCCTCGCTTTCGTGAGCAGTGGCACTTGGTGAGTCCAACACTCAGACATAAACTGTTTACTAAGCTTTGCGTGTGCCTCTCCCATGTCCAAAATGTACTGCGTGTATTGGTAAACCACATTAGAGGGTACCACTCTTGCATGGTTGATGCACATCTTTGAGGATGCATAGCTGCATTGCTGTGTATATAGCCTCAGAGGTCTGGTGGCTATTGAGCATTTATTAGTTGTGTTGACTCACCATTGTTGAGTGCTCAGTGGTGGAGCACTCGTCAGGAGAACAGAGTGTCGTGGGTTCGAATCCCACCTAGGGCAGCCCTTTTTATCTTTGTTGATATGCACTTGCCTTGTGTTTGTATATACCCCTGGTTCATGCGTTCATTGGTACACGGTGTTATGAATGATTGCATAGCATCAGGGGATAATTAGCAATTGCATCTCACCAAAGGGGGCTGGGTATAATATACACATAACTGTGTTGTGTCGTTGACAGTTGAACACAGGTCAATATGGTGATGAATACCGCGGCAGAGATCTCAAGATAGAGAAGGTCTGGATGCAAGGACTGAGTGGCTGCAATGTTACTGTTGGGATCGTGGACGATGGTAGGTGACGTGAGAACATTTTTGCTTGTGACACTCATGTGGTTTTCTCATTGCTTTGTAGGATTTGAATACCTCCATCCTGACTTGAGGGAGAACTACGTAGGTGACTTAAGTATATCATCAAAGTTTATGGTGGATGAATACGAAGAGTATGTCATTGGGGCCGAATTATAGACACGCAATGTCTAATGTTGAAACCGGGGTGTCTCAGTGGTGCGTGGCTCAGTGCTGTGTATCCTAAAGAGATCCCTGGTTCTACCCCCCCGACAACTAGTGCTTTTTACTTGCCTTTTTCACCTTGTACATTGTTACGCAATAGTTGTGTATTAGTTGACGTATGGACGCATATTATAATACATCCTCGGCCCCAAAGAGTCCGCACATCCACAACCTTGAATATTGGTATAATATACAACTCAGCGAGGCTCACCTACTCTTGCATGTGGTGTAGGTGGTTTATAGAGACCTGTAATGTGCCCTAAAAGTTATGAAGTTCGATACCATTGAGCAATCACCCATAATTGGGGGTAGGATAAAAGCACACCGCACCCCATTGTTCTCTTGGCACGTATGAACCGAGCGTTGTTGCTGAGTCTGACATTAATCCAATGCAGGCTCCAGCTGTGTCCTACGACTTTGTGGATGGAGATCCTGACCCAATCAACCACATGTACGACTGGCACGGGACACGCTGTGCTGGACTTGTGTCTGCCGCCAAGGATGGCGAGGCCTGTGGCGTTGGGGTGGCCTACAACTCCAAGTTTGGTGGTATTATGCCCGTAGTACATAAATAATTTTAGTCTGGTCCAATTTGGGGTGACTGGGTGGGGTGACATAGTAATCTGCATTCAGTTCTCCACCTAATAAACCTAGAAACTTGCTTATCATTGGTTTGAGTCCCACCCAGGGTATAGCATTGACAAACTTGCGATTGAGTTCAAAATCACACACATTACAATTTCTATGTCATGTTTTATGCAGCAGAAAATGCACCCCACGCGCATGCGCACAAGAGGTTATGTGATCGTTCTGTGTGTCTGTCGTCGTCCGCACTAAAACTGCCAGATCTCGAGGTATAGGTGTCCGGATGAGTTCGAAAGGTGGCTAAACAGCAAAAAGCAGACGTCACTGTGTGCTTGGAATCAACGGCACTTGCCACAATGGCTAGAAATTGAGCTGCAAACGTTGGGTCTTTCGGCCATGCCTATCTATAAGCATGCAAACACACCTACCCCGGTTTCTTCACATGCGCCACATACAGAATTATGTGTGGGGTATGTGCTTCCAAGAGCTCTAGTTAGAAAGATGTGTTTGTATGACTGCTCTGCAGGGCTAAAGCTGCTGGGTGCCTTCACGGACCTGAACGAGGCCAGCAGTCTCTCCTATGCCAATGATGTAATTGACATCTACAGCAATAGCTGGGGACCGTGTGATGAGGGGTGCGTGGATGGGCCAATGCGTCTGACGCATTTGGCACTCAAGACAGGGGCAGAAAGGGTGAGAAGGTTAACCCTACACTGTGGTTGAAGGTTTAGGGTATGTGGAACTGGAATATTTGAGTTTTGGGGAAAACTTAGCTTTGTAGGCCTTAGGTTAGGTTCATAGTATGTGGCATTGCCCTGACACTCTGCTTTACTGCACTGGACTTCTAGTACCTTATTCACTAGCAAGCAAGCTCTTACCATGTACCATGCTTGCACATACCTATAATTATAGGACATGTGTATAGTATGTGTATGGCTATTGTGCTAGGGACGTGGTGGAAAGGGGTCTGTATTTGTGTGGGCCAATGGAAACGGAGGTCCACCGGACGACTGTGCAGCGGACGGCTACTCCAGCAGCATCTACACCATCTCAGTGGGGGCTATTGGGGTGGGCGGGGAGCAGTCCTGGTACGATGAGGAGTGCTCAGCCAAAATGGTCTCGGCTTACGTGACAGATCACAATGGATATAGTGCAGTGGTATGTCCTAGAGCTTTGTTGTAAGTCACACGGACTATATAGAGAGTGTTCAAAGGAACTTGTATACCCTGTGTGAGTGTATTTCTGTTGGGTGCATTGCATGCTAGGGCGACTCACCGTGCAACAAGGGAGTGTGTCAGACCGTAATTTAGCTTTGAGTAGTGTGCCTTAAATAGAGTTAACATGGATTCCTGGCAAACGCGACTGTTATACACATTAGAGAAGTTTTCTGAAATCCAAGTTTAAAGTGGTAAGTTGGGCCTCTAAGGTGCCATTCGGATATTTTTTCGATGCATACCGACATGGACACGACGCTGATCGCATTATCCCTGCTGCGCATACGCGCGCGGGGAACTATTTTGCGCTGGCCAAAACGCTCATGATTTCTCCTTGTGTCTCTGTGTCACTCTCTTAAACTTCTGCTGTCTTCTCTGGCATTCCACTAATCAATGCACGCGGCGTCAATCCCCTAGCCTCACATGAATATGTGACAAAATCAAGAGATCGAAATTACGGGTTACGATGATGCACCATTTCAATTCTGCATTTCTCTTTGTGCTGCAGAGTACAACAGCTACTGATGAGCTGTGTGTGTATGGATTTGGCGGGACAAGTGCTGCGTGTCCGATGGTGGCCGGGGCCATTGCACTCACCTTGGAGGCCAAGTAAGACAACAAAGCTGAGTTCCAGATAGGCTGGATCCCTATGGTGCAAATTTTCTAGCCATCAGGAACTGTCAAACAAATTTGATCACATGTTGACTTCTTTGTGCTTGCTACAGCATCATCTACAATCGTCGCACTAGGTATCCTTAAACACTTGCTGTACTACCGCCCAGGGTAGTGAAGTTTGTTTCTGGGTCTGTTGAATTGCACTAGCCCCTTTTTTTTAATGCCCCATCCCCTCCCTCATTCATGTACCCACGATGACTTCATTGTCGCAGTGCAAACCTCACCTGGAGAGACATCATGTACCTGGTGGTTTTCACCTCTAACCCCTCCATCACTACTGGCGGCTCCTACACAACCAACGGTGCTGGTGTCCGATTCAGTCGACAGTTTGGTTTCGGAGTTCTGGACACGGAGGCAATGGTGGCAAGAGCCAGAAACTGGATCAGTGTCCCTCCTCAAATCGAGGAAATTAGGTTTCCTTCACGGACTTCTGGGTTAGCAGCTGCAATACTTTCTGCCCTTTTAGAATGTATACGCACCCACTTATATAGGTAACGTGTAACATGCCCAGCTTCCTCCCCTACAAATTATGGTGGGGAAATCCACAGGGCCCTTTTTATGTCCAACTGGGTGCATTTCTCTGCACTAACTACACACATAGTATGCTGCATTCAGTTTCCCTGCTGTAAGCCCACAAACGCACTGCTGTTTTGTCAGCTGCTTTTTATAAGTAATGTTCAAGGCCACTGACACACATTTTCCCGAGACTCCATTTGTGTGCAAAACACATGATATGCTAGATGTCATCTGACTTACCACTGCTTACATTGAGCAGCATAGTGACACTCACTGCATTACATATTTTGATGGCATGTGAATATGTGATAATCCACCATCACAGGGTAGCGACTAGCTCCACACCAGCATTCATCTCAGTGTTCTACAGTGGCTCCATCACCTACCTTGAGCACATAGTCGTAAACGTGACACTCCTACCCACCGGAATAACTGACCCTCGCAGAGGTCACATCAGTGTCGAGATTAGGTCCCCTTCCAGAACCTTATCGACTCTGCTAAAGTTTCGATCGATCGATGACACGAATAGAGACTATATCAGATGGCCGTTCATGTCCGTAGCGTTCTGGGGGGAAAACCCTAGGGGGACATGGCAATTAACCATACGATCTCAGAGCCGCGATACCAACGCTGACTACTCGAACCTGAGATTCCAGTTTTACGGGACGTCGGTCACTCCCCCAGCTGTTGCTAGGATACCAAACAGGTGTCACTCTGATTGTGCGCGAGGCTGTGCGGCCCCTGGTGCCGAGTTCTGTGATGTCTGCGCCAATCTTCGCGATGCTTACACCATGGAGTGCATCGACCAGTGTCCACCAGGCTACACACAGAGGAACGGCTACTGTTATAATGGCTCACTACCCGAGCCTGTCTGCAACTCTAAAGTCCCCTCTCTCACTTCAGGTACAACGTATACCATGAAACTTAAAACTTTCAAGGAAGAAAACGTTGCGATTTGTGATTTCAGTAGGAAATATTTGGGAATGAATTGCTTGTCCTCGCACAGTCCCATCTATGTACAAGGTTTTTCTCAATTTCACTGGGTAACTCCTAACCAACAACATTTTGCTGAGAATTTCCCCCAGATTTTTAGTAGTTCCTTGTACACATACAGTAGTTCTGCAAGTGTGCAGCAGAGAGCTCATACTAAGCTTTGTGTGTGTTGTTGCACAGGATCATGTGTGGAGGCAGGATACGATGGGTGCTGCAGTGAGGGCAAGTGTGAGGGAACCATTTCCAGCAGTCCATTCGGACTCTGCCACTGCGACAAAATCTGCCACAATATAAACGACTGTTGCAGAGATATTGAAGAGGTCAACTGCACCAGACAAGGTATATACACATCAGTAGGCCATAAGGTCACAGTCCCCAGAAGCTACTCCTGTCTTGATTATCTTTCTCTCCATTTTCTCCAGGGCTTGTAACTTCTCCAATGCGTTACATGACTCTGCGTGGTAATGATGATGTGCCAACTCAGGTTGTTCCTATTACTGATGATGGAGCATCGCCTGTCATCAGAATACCAGTTCCTTTCCCAATTGGATCTTCCCTTCATAGAACCGTTTACGTATGTGAGATCAGGATAACGGCTGGGTTTTTTTTACCATGGTGAACTTATAGGGTGGTATACCTAAAGCTCTATTTGGAAGGCTTTTTTTAAGTGCATCGGATCAGGGAAAGATTAAGGGAAACTCATAGCTATTGGTGTAAATATTTTCTTAAGTGTTACGTCTTTCCTTTGCCTTGAATCAATGCAGGTTGGAACAAATGGCTACATTTCGTTTGACAAGGTGTTCACAGACTACTCACCATTTGAATACCCGGGAAATTCCCGGGTTACCCTCGTGTCCCCCTTCTTTGTCGACATCGATACATCCTATGGCACGGGAAAGATCCGATACGAAATCCACACACCTAGCCAGTCGCCAGCCCTCTTTGAAGACATCAATCATATCATCAACGAACAGATGGATGCTGCATTTGCCGGCAAGTGGCTGTTGCTTGCCGAGTGGAGAAATTGTCCCGAATTTGGTAGGAGTCAATCAATTGTGAGTTTCTTACAAATGTACCAGTTCAGCATTGAAATGTGTACCATTGAAACTTAGGGCTACTAGAATCACCTTGGTTTCCAGTGAAGATAGGCCTTGTCAAAGAACCGTAATGTGTGAAGAGAGAGATCATAGAGACTGCATACCAATGGTGTTAGCCAAGAAGCAATTGGAGGGAAGGGGGGACTTGTCACCAGTTCGCTCCATATATCGTACGATACGTTTTATGCTAAGCACATTTCAACAAAGTAGTGGGAGCAGGTTTCGAATAGGAGACCTCTGCTCTCTTACTTTAGCTAAAACCCTAGTATATTATACATGTACTATTTCCTTTTGCAGACCAACACTTTCCAAGGAATTGTTGTGACCGACCTTTCAGAGTCGTACGCAGTGTACATTTACAACTGCCATGATATGCAGTTCTCGGGCAGTGCCTCGATTGGGTTCACCTCCCACACCTACGAGCTGTTTGCCAACCATCGACTCAGTGGCTACAATGCCAGGAACATAGGCTGTGTCAACTCGGGGCAGAGTGACTGGGTGAATCTGGTGTACAAATTGACCAGGGAAGACCTGCAGCCAATACAGCCAACTGGTACTTTCATACTAGTATTTTGGGCGAATGTTTGGCCAGCGGGAGTGAGTCTGTTTACAACCAGCACCTGCAATGTTTTGTATTCACACTGCATGCGCAATTGGACAAAGTACTGACATAGAAAATTTGTCCTGTTGCAGACCACTAGGTTAGCTTGCTCCTGCTCGCCAATGAAGTGCTTTTGCCAACTCAGAGCCACTAAGCTGCAATTTATATATAGTTAACCCTCAGTGCACCTGCGCAGTGAGGGTTACTAATGATGTATTTTTCTTCTTGACTCTACAGACCTTTATGATGAATGTGAACTAGGCTTACATCACTGTGAGCAGGAGTGCATCGATCTACCCACCAACTACGTCTGCTCCTGCTACGAAGGCTACGCCCTCCAGAGAGACGGGGTCAACTGCTTCCCATACTGTCACGCAGACTTTACGACAGAGGTGGGGGAATTCAACACACCCAGCTGGCCAGACAACTACCCGCAAAGGTTCTTCTGCGAGTGGAACATCGACCTCACAGAAACTCTGGAAGGCACGGACTACTTTCTCGTGCTCAGGGTTGATTCCTCTGCATACGGGATGGAAAGCAACTGCTCTGAGGAGTACATACAGTTCTTTGATGGGCTGTCATACAATACGTCACTGGGTAAATTCTGTGGTACAATTCCACCGAGGCCTATTGCTATGTCCGGGCTGGAGGCAAGGGTTGTGTTTGTAGCAAGTGACGAGCATCCAGATCATCTAAGAGGAGTGAGAATAACTTACTCTGTCGCTCTACTTGGTGAGGATAATTGAATGCATAGTTAATGCATGAGTTAAGCCCCCCAAATTTTTTTCCAATAATGGGTAATGCGTAAAGTGTTGCACTGATTTCTGTTGATCCTTTCAGAGAATGAATGCGAGAGAAACAATGGTGGCTGTGAGCACATTTGCAGAGATTCCCCATACTCTTACACCTGTGAATGTGATGCTGGCTACCAGCTGAGAGCCGATGGAAAGAGTTGTTACGGTATGCACACTTCCAATCCACCTTTTGGTTTAGCTGCAAAGTCAAGGATTAGGACAAGGAGCTGGTGTGGATTGTTTCAGCAAAAAGTGTCCATTAGCCAATTCTTGCCATTTTTTGGCTAACAGTTATGGGAACTGTGGCACTAAGTGTTGAGTTTTCCTTCCCAGATGTTGATGAGTGCGCAGGATCTCATGGCTGCAACCAGGTGTGCATCAATACCCTCGGATCGTACAACTGCAGCTGCGAGGAAGACTTTGTCCTCAGCGCTGATTCCAGGACCTGCCTTCCCTCCTGCAACGCCACATACACAGCTCTCTCAGGTTCATTCCAGACCCCCGGCTGGCCAGTGTCCTACCCTCAATACAACTTCGCCTGTCTGTGGACTATCGATCTGCAAGAGGATGACAATTATGCCATACACTTCAGTGTAAACAGCACTGCATATGGGATTCTCGGTAGACCTCCCTGCCCCACAGAGTATCTGGAGTTCCACGATGGGTTGACAAGAAATGCACCATCACTCGGAAAGTTTTGCTTCATCACAGTGCCCGATGATGTTGTGACATCTTCTGGCCAAGCGTTGGTTGTGTTCAAAGCTATTGACTTTAACCGGCCTCCAAGTCGCAAGGGAGCCCGGATCACTTATGAGGCTTTCAGAATAGGTATACATTTATCTCTCTCCCCTTCAGAATAGGTAGCTCATATCCATTGGATTATTAAAGGGACCCACCCAGACTGTCTTATACCTCAACATCAACAACTCTGTCGTTTCAAAGCGCCATAAACTATATATACTCTTTGTTGTTTAACCACTGATTTACATTCTCTTCTTGTGCAGTTGATGAATGTCTCATTGCTAACGGAGGGTGTGAACATATCTGTCAGAATACCGCTCTATCATTCAGTTGCCATTGTGACGAAAGCTACACCCTGAGGGCTGATGGACACAGTTGTGATGGTAATGACAGTAAAAGCAAGCTCATAACCACAGGGGCAATCCCCCTGTCTGTTGAACCATCCATTCCCGAGTATCAGCCACAGGGAGACCAACATAATATACAAAAGAGAAATTTCTTCTCCATTTTCTCATGTTCTTTGGAGGCTACTTTAACCTCTTGCTACAATCAGTGTCTACAGCGTGCAGCTGACGTAGGTACATAAAAACTCTGGAGATTAACACAGCATTTTAAGTAGCCTGTGTGTTGTTCTGGTCATAAAGTGATGGTTGCCACTTTATGTTTGATTTTGCAGATGTAGATGAATGTACTTTGGGGACAGATGACTGTGAGCAGGTCTGCGTCAATGTTAATGGGTCGTACCGCTGTGACTGTGAAGAGGGCTATGCCATCAACAGTGATGGAAGAACGTGCAGGATTTCCTGCGGAGGGAGCTACACAGCCAACAGTGGCAGCTTCCATACGCCTGGTTGGCCAACCCACCACCCTCTGGGATTCCGCTGCGAGTGGTACATCAACCCAGAAAACTCCTCCTCAAACCATATCTTATCTCTCACCGTCGACGACCGCTTTGGAATACACGGGCGTTCTCCTTGTCCCACGGACTACCTGCAGTTTCACGATGGAAGCACAACTGCAGCAACATCGTTGGGTATCTTTTGTTTTCTGACAGCACCAGATACACTCTACACTACCTCCAGCCAGGCAGTGATTGTGTTTCAAGCCAGCAGATTCCCTCACCTTCCTTCTCGAGTTGGTGCCAGAATCACCTACCAACTCTTTACCATTGGTAGGGTAGAGTACCAATTGAGGGAGTACTTTATTGCTAGTTATTCTCTTCCATAGAAAATGAATGTGAAGTTGATAATGGTGGTTGTGAGGGAACATGTGTGGACACACGGACATCATTCGAGTGTCAATGTGATGATGGGTACTCTTTGGCACCAGATGGGCGCAGTTGTGAAGGTAACTTTGAGCCCCATTATGATTCTAAGCCACCACATCATTAAAAGTTCATGTTTACAACTATGTACCGATTTTTTGCCAACGAGTGAGAGATTTTTGGGTTTCTTACAGATCTGGATGAGTGTTCTTTGGGCACACATAGTTGTCAGCAGCTCTGTATCAACAGTGATGGATCTTATGGCTGTGACTGTGAAGAGGGCTATGCCCTCAACAGTGATGGAAGAACATGCAGGATTTCCTGTGGTGGGAACTACACAGCCAACAATGGCAGCTTCCACTCTCCTGGCTGGCCAACCCACTACCCTCTGGACTTCCGCTGCGAGTGGTACATCAACCCAGAATCCTCCTCCTCAAACACTATCCTCTCTCTCACCGTCGACGACTCAAACTATGGCATACACGGAACAGCTCCATGCTCAAGAGACTATCTCGAGTTTTATGATGGTAGCACCACTTCTGGTGGGTTACCAGAGCGGTTTTGTGGCCTTACAACACCAGGCGTTCAGTACGCTAGTTCGAGCCAGGCAGTAGTCGTATTCAACTCGGGCAATATCCCTCAACAATCAAGTCGTGCTGGGGCTAAAATCACTTATCAACTCTTTGAACTAGGTATGTACAATACAGCTTTAAAACATTTTTATTGTTATATACCCTCTTGTACAGTCGATGAGTGCGAAGCCAATAATGGCGGATGTGAAGGGCCTTGTGTAAACACTCTGAGTTCATTCGAGTGCCGGTGTCCAGATGGGTACTCTTTGACTGCCGACAGACTCAGCTGTGAAGGTAAGAGCAGGCAGTAGTTGCTGCTCCACTCTCCAGGCAATGCAATGGTCTTTACTTGATCCACTACGCTGGTGTACTGAAAACTCCCAGGGTTTTATAGGCCACTTCTACCGAAGCAGTTGTGGTTTCTCTCACTCTAATGGCTTTGCTCATGACAACTTGTATAGTGGTTACACGTTTGGCGTTCTTGATTCATTGTGTTTCTCTCCACAGATGTTAATGAGTGTACAAGCAGCCACAATGACTACTGTGGTGGATTATGTGTCAATACAGAAGGCTCCTTCCATTGTTCGTGCAGTTCTGACTTCAGACTTGATAGCGACGGCAGAACATGCATCCCTGAATGTGGCGTCACTTATTCATGGACTCTGGCAGCATAGCCACACCAGGGTGGCCAGATTTCTGCCCCTCCCTCAGCTTCTCATGCGAGTGGGTAGTCGAAACCTGTAACGATACAATCATAGACTTTGCATTTAAAGAGCCATTTGGAATACTAGGCTCTCCGCCTTGCGCGACAGACTCAGTTGAACTAATAGATGGCCCCAGAGACTCTGCCTCCCTGGGAACGTTCTGTTCCCTGCAAGTACCAGAACCGGTCCATTCATCTACCAACGTAGCCACTGTGGTCTTTCAGGCCAGCAACCAACCTCATTCTTCTCAACACGTTGGTGTCAACATCACTTTTATCGCACTCAATAAAGGTAAGGGAGAACTCTTTATTGATGGCAAAGAAACTTCAAGTTATATGGCTCTTTACGTCTTTCCTTTTCAATAGTGAATGAGTGTGAAGTTGAAAATGGTGGTTGTGAGCAGATTTGCGTGGATCACCCCAAATATTTTACCTGTCATTGCGAACCTGGATACACTTTTGGCAAGCAATGGCAGAAACTGCAGTGGTGAGTCTGTCGGCTTCACACTCTTTGTAGTGTGGTGAGTGGGTGGTGTTCGTATGCAGATATCAATGAGTGTTCCCAAAGGCACAACTGTCCAGAGCGGTGTGTGAACACGCCGGGGTCGTTCTACTGCGACTGCAATGATCCAGAGTTTGTAGTGGGGAGTGATGGACTAACATGTGTCCCTGACTGCGGGGGGACACTCACTGCACCAACTGGGACCTTTTCCTCACCAGGATGGCCCAGATTCTACCACTCACTCGACTACCGCTGCACGTGGATATTAGACGTTGAGCCGAACCAAATCAACTCTTCGTCATTTGACATTGAGTTCAACGAACCTTTTGGGATTCACGGAAGAGATCCTTGCGGGACTGACTATGTTGAGGTGTTTGATGGTATTGGAGAGGGGGCCGTGCCGAGGGGAAAGTTTTGTTTCCTACGTACACCACCAGTCATCTCGACCACTTCTACACGTGCTATGGTCATCTTCCAGGCTAGCACTGCTCGACACACACCTAGCAGAGTGGGCATCTCAGTTACATACACAACTGTACAATTTGGTGGTGAGAAACCTTGAATCATGTATGATCTACAATGTATCAATACGCTAGCTTCATTATTATGTGTACCTTGACTCTAAGCCGCATTACATAAGTGTTCTATTGTGTGTGTAGTTAATGAGTGTCTGGAAGACAACGGTGGGTGTGAGCAGGAGTGTGTCGACACAAGGCGATCCTTCACCTGCTCTTGTTACGATGGCTACTCACTTGACTCAAATGACAGGGGATGTACAGGTAAGCTACATACTGGTACTCTATGTGAACTAGTATTGGCATGCAGCATAACGTGTCTAGTACCAGCAAAGTGAACTCCCACATAAAGAATCATTTGCTGGTTTATTGGGTTTCAGATATTAATGAGTGCTTATCGTCAAGTCATGACTGTGAACACCGGTGTATCAACACGGAGGGATCTTACTACTGTGAATGCAATGACGGTTTTGCTCTGGGCAGCAATGGAAGGTCCTGCTCTCTCGACTGTGGCGGGAGCATTCCTCTGAGCAATGGGACGTTCAAGTCTCCGGGCTGGCCACAGATGTACCCACAACTCGACTTCCGCTGCGTGTGGACAATTGAGAACATTCCCACTGGGGAGTCAGTGGCATTTGTCATTGACAAATCAGCCTTTGGGATTCACGGTAGCTCACCATGCTTCAGCGACTACGTGGAGTTTTTCAACAGGGCCGATTTCACCGGGAGGTCGGTGGGACGGTACTGCAGTCTGGTGCCACCGCAACCTGTTATCATCACCAGCGACGGAGTTCGGATTGTGTTTCAAGGACGCGTCAACAGAAATCGTGCCCCGGATAATGTGGGCATGAGGGTCCTCTACACAGTTCTTGGTACGCAAAGATATTGCTAGTCTTGTGAGCCAGCTAACTTTAGTAATTAGGTTCCAAGGAAAGATTAATTAGCCGTCTCGCAACAGTAGCCACCATATTATATTCTATGACGCAGTGTTTCAACTGTGATCTCTCCATCTCCCAGAGGATGAGTGTGCCACAGATAACGGTGGATGTGAGCATACTTGCAGAGACACCATCTTTTCCTACGAGTGTGAGTGCCCTGCAGGGTACGAGGTGGCTCCAGACAGACACAACTGCATCGGTATATTATACACCTATACTAGCTACTATGCAGGCTTATACACTATAGGACGTATGGAACGTATTAAGTGAATGAGAGTGTGTCCATTTTTTGAATAGCAAAGCATTAACGTATTGTAACAGCGCCGTCTAAAATAACAATATTGAAAATTCGCGCATTTCAGGCTGAAAGGTATTCACAACCTTAGAATGGGGAGAGCCTTCACTTCATTGCTGCTTACAACTTCTTTGTCTGTCTTCCTCTAGATGTGGATGAGTGTGTGCTGGGGACACATGAATGTGCACAGCACTGCACCAATACCGAGGGACTCTACTTCTGCAGCTGTGGGGATGATTTCAACCTAGCTCCAGACGGAAAAACCTGCATCCCTGTGTGCGGTCAAACTTTCACCGTCCCAAATGGAACCATCAGTACCCCTGGATGGCCCCACTTCTATCCTGAGCTGGATTTTGTGTGCGAATGGATCATCAACGTCGACAGTGACTACCTTGATAACAGCACGAGATCAGTTTTGAAGTTTGTTTTCAATGAGACTGCGTATGGGTTTGGTGACCACTCGAACTGTGCCCGAGACCACATAAAGTTTTATAATGAAATTGATGCCGATGCTACCGAGTCAGTTGCGAGGGTGTGTGCCAGTGAGGCACCAATGCCCTTCACTGTCTTATCGACAGAGGTTAGGGTGGTGTTCCGCGGCAGCTCCAGACCACATGTGGAGGGTCAAGTTGGTGCCATGGTCTCCTTCTTTACCATTGAACAAGGTAAAGGAAGCTGACACAAGAAGCTCATAACTGGTTAATATGACATTAAAGAGAATTTGACAGGATATAAGGGCTAAATTTAGTAATTTTGCTAAAGATAACGTCTTTAGTATCAGTTTCTACATTTAGCCCTATACTTAAATTATAATTGTTCTCTCTTACTCTTGTATTACAGAGTTTGGAGAAGCCCCTTGCAGTATTAGCGAGGTGGTTGATTTTTCCGGGAACTGCAGAGAAGTGGACTGTGGTGGGACGGTGTACTCCACGTCTGGAGTACTCCAATCCCCCAACTGGCCCGAGCGTTACTCCACAAACATCCTCTGTCAGTGGTCCATCGTCCTCCCCGATCCGGACGCCACTCTGAAGCTCACAGTAGATGAGATAGACATAGTCCAGAGCCGCTCTGGGACTTGTTTCTGGGACTATTTGTTAGTGTTCGATTCGTCAAATGGTCAGGGGAACATACCCGAGCTGCTGAGTGAGAGGTTATGTGGCTCCAACCCACCAACTGCTCACATGACCGCCACTGGGAACATTGTGCATGTGTGGTACCAATCCAGGAGCACTAATAACAGGGGATTCTCTCTCTCATTCTCTGCTAATTTTGGAGTCTAGACAATGCTAGAGCAGTTTGTATCTAGTCTGATATAATGCACTTTCTCATTCTTTTAACCACAACTGTTTGGTTTTACTTGATAATAATAATTATGATGCGACATGCTAATGAATCAAACAGAGCTGTAGTACTGGGCAACTATCATACGCTGCATGCTTTTGTGTGATTAAATTATAGTGTGGGTCAAAAGGTATCTCACTATAATTATGCAGGTGATAATAATATGCCTATAATACAAACCAACACTTGTGCACTACTTAATGGTCCTGTTCCTAGGAAATGGTTAAAAAAAACGTTCCTGTGTATTACAGTGAAACTTCCTGTTTGTTGTCAATGAACTTCCTGTTCCTATGAACTCAAATTCCGGTGTGTGCTACGGTATGTCATCAATCAGCCACTGGATAGCACTATAAAAGCATCCCCCACCAGGCCAAAAGCTACCAAATGCGCCTCATACAAGTCCCTACTTATACAGGAGCACCCTATAATAGTGCCAGCCTGTTGCAAACACTTTTGGAAGTTTCAGTATAAACGCATTGTGTGATGGATTCAGCAAATTTTGTCGTACGAAGATCGACTGACCCCAAAGAAATTCTACGTGTCGTATCCGAGAAAAGGGTTCTCCAGGGATTCAAACCCGGGGCACTGGATCACGAGTGCTACTTTGCAGCAGACGAAAATGGATTTTTCATTGGTGAGCTGGGTGGCCAGCCCATCAGTTCGGTGTCAGTCGTGAAACACACCAACGACGTCGCCTTCATTGGTCAATTTCTCGTCCAGGAGGAGCACCGCAGTTGTGGCTATGGATTGAAGACCTGGCAGATGGCTCTGGAAATGGCTTCGTTGCAAAAAGATTGCAACTTGGGTCTGGATGCACTGTCGGGGACAGAGAACATGTACGAAAAGAGCGGTTTCAAAAGTGCGTGGTGTGTTAGGAGAGTGGAGTATGCTGCATCGGATGGGGCTTTAGCACTGAAATTTTTCCAGCCGGTCGAGATTCATCCAGCATCCGACATTCAGTTCCACGAAATCGTAGAATATGATGCTCCGATCTACGGTTTTTCACGCGAAAAGTTTCTGCAAAAGTGGCTCTATGCTCTAAACAGTCATTCGTATGTCGCGACAGATGAGGAAGGGAAGGTATCAGGATATGTGGTCATTCGCACTACTCTCAAGCAAGATGAAGGCTGGAAGATTGGGCCGCTTTTTGCCAATGATCCCAGCATTGCCAGGAGCCTTTATAAAGCTGTCTTCGATCGACTCTCCAGCGATGACGAGAATGCAAAAGTTTCGGCTGATGTGCCCTACGGTCGCAATACGAACCAGCAAGCTATTCAGTTTGTCGAAGAAATCCCCAGCACAACAATACTGAAGTGTACCCGCATGTACACTAGGGGTGTACCCACAAACCTTCACCTGGAAAAGATATACGGACACACTGCTTTGGAGATATATTAACTGTCTTATTACCACTTTTTTTAAATTTATTGTTTTTGTCACTAAACAGTATGCTTTATCTCACAATGATATTTATAGTTCCTATGAACCAACTCAATCCTACAAAAACATCTGCATGCATTATAGCACAGAGTTTGGGGTTTTGCCTTCGCCTTGTGTTGCAGACTTTGAGCCCTGCTGAGCTGCCCTGGTAACTCAGTGGTAGAGCACTCTGTCTAGAAAGCAGAGTGCCGTGGGTTTGAGTCCAACTTAGATAGGGGCTTTGGTGTTGAATTGCAATTGCCTTGTACGCAGACAACACCAGACTGGGCCCAAGGATCTTGGTGTGATTATGGTTACCGTGCATGTGTTGTGAGATATGCATTCTCCGATAACAACATAATTTACAGCATAGTTGTGAAACACTCAGACACTTTGCACACCTAAAGAACGCCATAACTCATACAGATGCTGGTGTCGAGTGTGCGCATGCCTCCTTTAATGGTGGTGTGAGTGGGTTTCCATGTACCGCCCATGCCATGAGGTATCTTTCCAGTTGCCTACGAAACATGTCTCACACACTGTCTGCTTGCGCTTGTGACATTTACACCGCCAGGTGTTCATGTTGTGACTCATAATGCTTATTCTCAGAGGGAATTACAATAGAACTCATACTGATGCATGTATCTTGTTTCCGATTCCTAGGAATGATTGTGTGCATGTTTCTTTGATGTGGGTAAGACTATGTATTAGTTAACGTATAGGCGGCGAGGCGAGATACTCTGAGGCCGGTATAGTTAACAGCCGAGGAGGATTTGTTGTACACGCCGAGACGCCGGGCGTTAACTGATTTGTAGTCCAACTAGCCAATCACAATGCTGAATTTCTGCTGAGTCATCCTGCACTAAAGTACTAATGCCTAATGGACTGTTGTTGGAAGCCAGATAGTTTGCACTACGCCTAGCGCTAGATGTTGTGATAAGGACTTACTGATACCGGTGCAGCCCGCAGCCCACAGCTCAGAATACAGCGTATATTCCTAGCACCGGGTTGTTTGAAGTTGGACTACAAATTCCTATGCTGAGGTCACTACACTGATTGGTTGTGTGATGCCAGTATTAACTAACATACCCACCTAGATAGGCCTTGAAGAATTATGCAGAATTATGCTTCCTTACGGTTACTACCGTTTCTATTAAACATGCTTCCTTGTTACATCACACAAGCAATGTTTGTCAATGCCATGGGTAGATGAATGTTGGTTTGTAGAAAGAGTTATTTACACACTTACATGAAAGAGGGACCCAGGATATCCTCTAACAAATACGTACATGGTTATATACCTACTTCCTTGTATTTTTATTAGTAACACAGTATTGTAAATAGTTCCTTGAAATAAGCTTTGAAAAAGAGCACCTTAGAGCGAAACAAGGAAGCCAGGCATTATAATTTTATTGCTCCTTGCATATCTATCGTCAAAAGACCCACACTTGCTGCAGATTGTGTACTTAGCACCTTTCTACCAGGCCTTGGAAGGATAAAAGCTCCTAACAACCTCGGCCCTGTTTGCCAGCTGAATCAGCAAAAATTACACCCTATTACACGCCTATTCAGGGTTTAGGCATCCTCTCTTCCTTCTGAAAGAAAGGGGCTGGTACCGAGACTAATTCAGGACATTGGCCCTCTTTCCGGCAACGTAACTTTGCCAATACAGACTGTGGCTCCTGTATTGTAGATACAGGTCAGCCCTCCTTTCTCTCCAACAGGAACCGTCACGAAATCATGTCAGAAAACTTGTCACATTATATTACAAAGACAAGGAAATTTGCGACGGACAAGAGTGTTTATGTTTCCTTCATCTCCCTGAGTCTACGGATCGCACTCCTAATAGTTGCAGCTGCGGTTGTGCTGCAGGGGAAAAGAAACGTCAGCTAAGCTGCTCCATCGAGGACCATCTGTGGGGAACCTACCTTGGTACCCATGCTCCGCCTGCAATAACCTTCTGACACTTGTTGCAATGCCAGATGCCCACGCACTTTCTTTTCATCGAGTTCTGCAAAATTACTCCAGTAAACGCGCACCAGCCGTGTCCCATTCTTCTGCCGACTAACCTTTCCACAGAAGTAGCAGATGTATTTTCCGTGTTGAGATATTTCGATCTTCTTCACCATTTTTCTCAACGAGGAGCCATAACGCGTTCCATACTTGCCCACAACGCCTACTTTCTTCGTCCTTTTGGCCTGTAGACAGTTTTACACAGTAAATACCCAATCACATGGTGTGTATCTCGTTCGGAAGGCCACCAAGAGTACCCATATTGATCGATTGCACTAGATAACTCACCATCCTTGAGTGTCTCTTTCCACGCGCGACGTTACAAAACCACTCCTCTAGACACGCCCATCGTTTTCACGCCCCCACGTGTATGAGCTCGAAGGTGTGGCTCGCTCGACAGCCGCAAACCGAGATGCCAGCTAGAAGGGATGGGGAAAGCTCTCTGTTGGGTAGTTATGGTTGGCTTATAGCCATGGGTGTGTTGGTTGCTGCAATGGCCGTGTACTTGTCTGCACCAAACGGACCTCTGCTTGTAAAGAGGTATAAAATACAGAGCTGGCCATTCAGCTGTTGATTCTGTGGTAGTCTCATAGTCAGCTCTCCTCTTTACTAGTACCGTGTAGTTAGCAACTGCTCTCTTATTCCAATGCAGAATGAAGTGGGAAAACCAAACCGGTCCCCTGCCTATGACTGAATGGGTAAGTTACAAGTTAGCTAGCTACTAGCAACATACACACACCCAAGCTAGATACCTAGTAGGCTACTCCCAAGTGCACAAACGCACACAAATAATGCCCCTCCCAATCATGAACGTTATATATCACTCCATTCACACGGTGTATTTAGTTGTGTTGTTATGTCTCTCTAGCTATCTAACAACTCGGCTCCTGTAGTTTTGCTCAATACTCCCTTCGATAGCTGGAAATCAACCAGGTGGACTTTCAAAATGCTGGCAAAAATTGTTCCCTCAGTCACCTCAAAGAAAAGCAAGAAAAATGTCTTCAAGTACCATGCAGTTGACAAGCCTTTCTCCGAAATTGCACAGTACAAGGAGAAAAAGACATACAAACAGAAAAAATACACCGGCAGGCAATTCTTCCACCTCCTGACTGACTATGACCCTGACCAAAGGTTTCTTCTACTATTCCAGCGGAGACATAGAACTTCTGGAAATTGACAGTTTCTTTACCAAAGATTCACTATTGGACGTCATGTTTGGTGATTTTGAGCTTGGGCAAGTGAATTTTTGGTTTGGTGGGAGAAACGTGACTGCATACACGCACTACGACACCTCACACAATCTTCACACCATCATTCGCGGTCGTAAGAAGTTCCTACTTTTCCCTCCGTCGGCGCACAAGCACCTAAAGCTCTACCCAAGCCTCCATACATTCTACAGACAAGTTCAGGTGGACATTCTTAATCTGACTCAGGCCCAATTTAGGGAGCTGCTTTTTGAGACGCCGTTTCCTCGAAGTCGTGCTAACACGCGGCGAGACACTGTACATCCCTCCATATTGGTTCCACTGTGTAGTGACCCTGGAGCCTACCATCTCACTCAACGTTTGGAGCCAGAGTGAAAACTTTCTCGCCATGGAAGATATCTACAGCCTCCCCATCCCGTTTGAAGAGCTGTGGGGGAGGGTGAAGTTAATGAGAGTGCTCCACCACTTAGTGACCCTAGTACTGCAAGGTACACTGGCACACTATAGAAACATTTCCAGCTTTATGAATGGTGCGGTTCTTAGTCGGTATGATGTGATACTTGACAAGTTATCAGACACTGACGAAGAGAATCTCCTGTCGTTAGTGAAGGTGTTTTGTCTTCAGTCGGAAGTGACTCAACTGCTGGACAGTCCCAGTCTTCGACACGTCAATGAAGGCGCTATGAAGGTTATTGATGCATTCAAGAGTATGCTCCCGCTATCAGTCAGGGAGATTAATATTGCAAATTACCTGGAACACGTAGCATGGCGAATACTAGGAACAGAAAACGTGATTCTTGTACCATTTTACTACAAAAAGTGCTTTTCATTTTAGCAGTCAACACTATCAGTAAATTTTTTTATATTCATCTTGCACTTTTATAGTATATAGCATACAGAGATTGACCAAAACACTGTATACAGCACAAAACACGAGTAGAGTATGAGCGATTTTCAGAAGACAACTTGTGGTCTGAAATGGGGTTGCTGTTTGTTAGCCTTTGTAGCCAGCTTCAGCTGTCTTCTCTGCTGCATACGAATTCTTGTTGTCTCGTCCATAACCCTCTTCTTTCCCACCTCCCCCTCCGCTCCCTTCCACCCGATGGCACGGTACTGCGCCATGAGTCTCGTCACCACGGACGACGTCCGTTGCTCTAGCGTTGGGACCCTCTGCTTGTAGTAGTGTCTCATTGCACGGTGCGAGAGCTTTGACCCAGACGGCAGAACCAACTCCAAATCCTCGTTCACGTCTAGAGTGTTATCTGGAACTGGTAAGTCGCCGTCTCTCTCAACACCCTTCCCTTCTTCTTCCCCAGGTTTTGAGTAGCTCTTGGTGTAATCGTAGAACTCTGCGTACTCGAGAGCGCTGTCTCCCTCGAAGAACAGCTTGCAGTGGCTCTTGTCCACTGTGTGGTGTTGTACCGCCTCAATGGAGTAGAAAGTACGGGACGTGTTGCAGTAGAGGCAGCTTCTCTCTTCGCCGACCTTGTAGCACAAGTACTCTAGGAGTCCCTTCAGGTCGACCAGATACTCGAGATCAGGTATGAAGAATCCGTGAGCATAGCTCATGTGTTTGAGGCTGCGTTCCATGTCATCACTCACGTGCGTGCAGAACAGACACTCGTCCAGCTCAAGTGGTTGCGGCCCCTCGTCTGAATCTTCTGACACACACTCACTCTCTTGGCTCAGTCGTTTTAATGTTACCACTGAATCTTTTTTGACCTCTTTAGTTGTCTCGGTTTTCTCTTCTGCGTTGTTTAGAGGGTTCGCTTGCACAATTTGTGCCTTATCATCTGCCACATGGACAGCTGAGAGTTCAATCTTCAAGTTTTTCAGGTTGTCCAACGTTTGGTCAATGGCTTCGTCAGTCGTTCCCTCCGAAGCGTCGTCTATACCGTCGTCTACCTCGCTCGGAGCCCTAACCTCTTTCTTCTCCTTGTGTTTCTTTGAGCGGAGGTGGCTCTCGTACGATTTGTCGGACGCAAACGCCTTCCTGCACGCCTCGCAGTAGTGAGAGTGGCGCTCTCTGGCCTTGGCATCTGCAGCGCGTTGACTGAGGACCTTCTGTTTGAAATTTTCGGCCCTAACGGGCGCTAGCTCTGCCACTTTGCGCTTTAGGTTGTAGCGGTGCCAATCTGTCTTGTAGTGGGCTCGCTGTAGCTCCCCGCTGGCGAATGCCACGGCACAGGTGATACAAGTATGGCCAGAAAACGCCATTAATATTCGTTGGATGTCTTCAAATGGCCTGGGCTGAAACAACGAGCGAGAGAGAAGCGTGCACGCACGTGAGTTGTGGTGCAACTTTGAATCTAAATAGAGCCCACCTGTGACATCATCGGTAACCACGTGTGTAGTCTAAAATTTTAGTGTGGAAAATGGGGAAAAAGGCAAAGCTTGGGAAGGCTCGAAAAGACAAGTTCTACCATCTCGCCAAGGAGACTGGATACCGCTCACGGTCGGCGTTCAAGTTGATCCAGCTCAACCGGAAATATCAATTCCTGCAGGATTCCCGCGTCCTCATAGACTTGTGTGCGGCTCCTGGCGGCTGGTTGCAAGTCGCCGCAAAGTTTACGCCAGTTTCCAGTCTATTAGTTGGTGTGGACCTGGTGCCTATAAAGCCAATCCCGAGTGTCGTCACATTGAAGGAGGATATTACCAGTGCAAGATGCAAGCAGGTATAAAAACCATGTTTTCGTGTCAGCTGACAACGTGCACTGATGGTTCAGTGGTAGAATTCTCGCCTGCCACGCGGGAGGCCCGGGTTCGATTCCCGGTCAGTGCATCTTTTTTCTTTTCTCTCTTTACATTTAACCCTTGTTTTTCATTGCTTCTAATGCCTTTTTTCTATTTCATACTAATTATTTTTTCATTTTCTAGCTGCTTCAGAAAGAACTTCAAGGCTGGAAAGCGGATTGTGTACTAAACGATGGAGCACCAAATGTCGGCAAAGCATGGATACAGGATGCTTTTTCTCAGGCAGAGCTCTCGCTACACGCCCTCAAACTAGCCTGCCATTTCCTCATAAAAGGTGGCTGGTTTATCACAAAGGTAAGGGGAACTTTGCAGTACATATATATAGCAGTTAGTGATATTTCTGGTGATGACAAGATGACGAGACTGAGATTGTCACTATTCCGCCACGTTCTGTGGTGGGAGCAGTCATTGGCTCTGCTGAACTGAGGCATTTGTCTGAAGAAACACTTAGAGTTTACCTTTGTGCTTAGTCCTTTTGCTTGCTATATACAGTTGTGTTTGAGCACAGTGATTTTTATTTGTAAGCAAGGACCATTTGTTTGAAGATAGCGTTCTGCATGAAGTTTTTGCCATATTAAACAGTCCTCAAAGCATAAAAGCCTTGTAAACAACAACAAACAGCCGCTGGCAATAGTTCATGTGTGTGCGTACTGTCTTATTAAACAATGAAACTTCTGTCCAGGTTTTTCGTTCAAAGGACTACCAGCCACTGCTGGTGGTGATGCAGCAGCTATTCCAAAAGGTGCACGCCACCAAACCCCAGGCCTCTAGAAGCGAGTCTGCAGAGATATTTGTCGTGTGTAAAGGCTATCGGGCACCGGCCAAGGTCGATCCTCACCTCCTTGACCCAAACCATGTGTTCAGAGACACAGAGGAGCCCAGTGAACAGAAAGTCAACCTTATGAAACTTCAGGTATATACATAGTGTGATACTGCACACAGTTTCTTCACGTGGGCTGCATGATATTACGTACAATGGTGGAGGAAGAGAAAGTAGACCATGTATGTGATATATACACATTGGACGTGTGTTCTGTGTGCCAACTGGGGGTGGGAGCATAGTTCAACCAAGGATTTCTCATTTCAAAGATATCATACATGTCCAGTATTAGTTTTCTGTTGTGTGTCTATCAGAATGTGATTGTTCTAATTAATGCCCCCTGCTCAAATTCCCCATCTCTCTCCCCCTCCCTTTCTTCCTTTCCCTCTTACACACACTCTCTCCCCTACTACTATATGGTATATGTACCTACAGAAGAGACCCAAGGCAGAGGGCTACCCAGACCAGGCCACCACTCTCTATAGCGCAGTCCCAATCTCAGAGTTTGTCCTCTCTGACAAACACCTGACTCTCCTGGCCGAGTGCTCCAAACTGGAGTTTGACCGCCGCGGCGAGGTGTTCTCCCGACATCCCCTCACCACCGAGGAGATACGACTCCTCTGTGACGACGTGAAGGTTCTTGGTCCAACGGAACTGAGACAACTGGTGAGATGTAAGAGAGATGAACTTCGTACGATAGACTTATGTATTAGTTCTCCCGTGTTTAATTCTGGAATCAGAATTGTAGGTGAACGGCGTGTTGTATTTGACTGAATGTGTAGGGGGGGAAATGTTTGCTCCCAGTTGAAACTTGTCTCTGTGGTATTGTGTTCTTGCTTGTGGTAGTGCACTTGTTTCTATTTTTCTTGGTGCATCCTCACTGAAGTGGTTGAGTATATACACTCTGCTGCAGGTTAGATGGAGAGAGAAAATGAGAAAGTTTCTGGATGAGGCGGGGAGCAGTAGTGATGAAGGTGAACGAGAGGGGCAGGAGGAAGATGGGGGAGCAGAGGATGAGGAGGAGAGAGAAATGGCCGGAATCGAGGCACGCATCGAAAAGTTGAAGCAGCTTGAGGCGGCCGAAGAGAAGCGGTGAGTGGTGTAGGAAGAGGGAGTGAGAAGGAAGGGAGAGGATTGCTATATATACGTAGAAGATGGTGTGTTTCCAATGATGACTACAGATGACGAGATGACGTTTTTATTTTGTGGATAAATCAAGGCATTTGTCTGAGGAAACACATCAAGGACTATATATGTTTATGCAAGGTTGTGTAATCTACTTTTAAGAGTGGTTTCCTTTTTAAAGATTTTTCAGCATTCATGGTTGGACTTTTAACAAATTATTATTGGTCCATCAACAGCACTTCTTTTTTCATGCAACCTTTTATACCCCTACGTTGAGTTAGTTACATGGGACTTTTGTGTTAGTCACGCCATGTACTGTGTGCGCTGACATTATTAGCACTACCGGGTGTCCAGGGAGTTGAGGTATCTTCGTAAGCAGAGAAAGAAGCTACAGAGCAGACTGACCAAGGACTCAGCGGCTCACAGAGAGGCTGGGGAAATCACTAGACAGGAACACCTCTTTGGACTCAAGGTCAGAACCCAGTATAATAGTGTGTGCTGGTGATAGGAGGTTGAACCATCTTTGCAAGGTGGCCCTGAATTATGCAACTCTGGGAAGGTCACCCACGCAACCTCTCATTTGATACAGATGGATGTACTGTATTAAGTGGTTTGGTAGCTTAATGCCTATAGACATACATACGTATTGAGAAGGGAGGGAGATGAGGGACAATTGGTGTGTCTCCAATGATGACTAAAAGATGACGAGCCTGAAATGTATATTTTGTTGACAAATCGAGGCATTTGTCTGAGGAAACACATCTTTCTAAGAACCAAGATAATTTGTGCCCTAATTAGAATGTATGGTGTTGTAAGACTTGAACAGTACCACAGTATTCTCTGTTGTGTGTGTGTGTATGTGTGTGTGTGTGTGGTGTATAGAATATCAAGAGCCGAGCACAGCTGTCCAGAGTGGAGGAGCAGGCTCGGGAGGATGGAGATGATGAGGGGGAGGGGTCTAGTGACAGTGGGGATGAGGTGGAGAGTGCAGGTGAGCCGAGTAAGTGGGTGGAGTGTTTCCAATGATGACTAGAGATGACGAGTCTGAACGATTGATTTGTGGACAATCGAGGCATTTGTCTGAGGAAACACATGGACTTTATTGTGTGTGGGTGCAGTAGGTCCATATGGGTGTATAGATCTGTTGCATGTTACCATAGTATGTGTCATCAACAGCGTCTAGTGCCGAGGAAGGAGAGCCGGAGGAAGAGAAAGAAGAAGAAGGAAAAGAAGGAGAAGGGGACTCAGACGAGAGTTCAGATCTTGAGAGTGGTGATGAGGAAAGTGAGAACAAAGACAAAGAAAGAGAACAGACACCAGGTATCGCAATGTTTCTAATTATTGCCTCCCAAAAATGAGTAAAAAATCTCAATACTACAAATAGGGACTGGACTATCTCTTTTACTTGAAGATAACCTTGGTTACCCTTTGTAAACTATATACAGTGAAACTTCTGAATCTTTATTAGGGTGTCCCCTTGTTCGTAGGTAATAATTATAGTATGGGGCAGAACCAAGTCTCCTTTTTAGAGAAGTATCCCTCTATGGGTGGTTCTTTTTGGAGGTTTTACCGTCTGATTGTGTTGTCTGTCGGTAGAAGCACCAAATCCGCTGGTGGTACCTCTGGAATCCTCGTCAGTGGCAAAGGCTCGACGTACGAAGCTGTGGTTCGGTCAGGCCGAGGTACAGGGGATTCTGGGAAGGGGCGAAGGTGAGAGTGGGGAGGGTGGGGGAGAGGGGGAAGGGGAGGAGATGGAGAAGAGCTGTGGAGGTTTTCAAGATGAAGGGAGGGCAGCTCTGGGAGAGACAGGGAGGACGGCAAGATGCAGAGAATGACAAAATTGCACGTGAGTTGGGATTGTCAGCTGTGTATGCGAGATTAATCCTGCGTTCCTACTTGTGCTATTACCCTCCCAAATAGTATATAGGGATGGTCATTACACACACATGCCTCAGTGAATCTAGTGTAATGAAAAGCACTATGGTCAAACCCTCGGCACGAAACGCGCCAGTTGTAGCATTGCTGTATGCTGGGCCATGCGTCATCGACGGAGCCAGTAACATGAATCTCGCCGTAACACAGGGTAGTTGCATTAGCGGTTAGAGCAATTGCTCAGGTGTTTCAGGGGCTCTCATATCTGCTTTATTCAATCTATCCGCTCTTCTGTGTTTCAATGCTCTCGCCAGACTCGCAAGGCCGCAACTACAAACTGCTCGCCACCTGAACTATTACGCTACATTGCAAACATACCTTGCTCAGCATGTTTATCCATTGAAAACAAAAAGAACAGAGATAAAAACCGACAGAAGGCCGTGGATCGTACAACCATGTGGCGTAGCGCATGCTCCGGCGAATAACTGACATGACGCGTGCGCGCTATATAGCCTACCGGAGAGGGTGCGTGCGCGATCGACTGCACGTTGGCTTTTTCGCTTGTTTTCACGCCATATCTCTGGAACGCAGTCGTTTCAGGAAAATCGCCATTATATCCATCTTCTCGTTGTTCACAACCCGTTGGTGCCACTCATTTGCCGCCTCGTAGCCTGTAGTGCGAGAACTCGCGGGACAGAAAGACAGACAGACCGACAGACCAAGTACCGTAACCCTCGCTGCACATGCGCGCCGAGGGTTAATAACCTTATTTGTGTATACCCTTGCATATCCAACCACATGCCTAAAGAAACTTTTTAAAAACATGTTGGTATCCAACCTAACATAGTGTTGAGATTCATCTGTAAAGTCTCTCTGTTTGTGCATGCTGAGCTACAATAATATGCCTCTTTTGCTATTTGTACTGCATCTCATGTAGGGTCTGACATGGAAGAAGAATCAACAAGTGAAGTGAAGAAGAAGAAAGTAAAGATGGCGACAAATCCACCATAGCTTCAAAACGATCCAAACTTGCCAGTGGCGATATTGAGGTTGTCCCTGCGGAAACGAGGTCGTCAACTCTCCCCAAACTGAGTCCAGAAGGTATGGCGATAGCTTCGCTCCTCGTCCAGTCAAAGAAGAAACGGGAGGACCTGATAGAGAGCGGCTACAACAGATGGGCCAATGACGACCAGGGGCTCCCCGATTGGTTCGAGAGCGATGAAGCTAGACACTACCAGAAACAGATCCCCATCTCCAAGGAGATGGTTGCCGAGTATCGTGCCCAGCTACGAGCCATCAATGCCCGACCAATCAAAAAGGTCGCAGAGGCAAAAGCGAGGAAGAAGCAGAAGGCAATGAGACAGCTGGCCAAGGCCAAGAAGCGAGCCGAGGGCATCACGGATACGGAGGACATGTCCGAGCGCGAGAAAATGCAGCACATCAAGCAGATTTACAAGAAGGCAGGGGTTCTCGGGAAGAAGAAACCGGAGGTGAAGTATGTGGTGGCAAAGAGGGGGCTGGCTGGGAAGAAAGCCGTGCGACCGGCTGGGGTGAAAGGTCGTTATCGTCAGGTGGACCCTCGCATGAAGAAGGACAATCGGACGATGAAAATGAAGGCTAAAGCTGGCTCCAAACAGAGGGGAGGGAAAAAGAAGAGCAGATGATATATAGCATCTTGTATCAGACATTGAGTCTGCAGTTTTGTGTCGCACATGTTGTGTATGTTTCCATTTCTCTTTCATCTGGCTATAATAATAGGAGAGATGACGTGATACGTTCGAACGGATAGCGAACAATGTGGGTCACTGTCGAATTCAGTCTATTGTTTGACCATATCTCCCTGCGCCCACGTTGCTCAAGTCACAAAATGAGTGCCTGCGCTGCATTCCCCTGCTATACTGAAGGTATTCAGGATGATTGGTTAGCTTGTGACTTCCCACAGTTACTAGCTAAAAGTACGAAAAGTTTAGGCCATTATTTGTGCTGCACTCTCCATGTGTGTTTATGGTATTCAGGGTGGGTTTCTTGCCAGAACTTGCTGCAATTTTCTTGATAAAAGTACGAAAATTTAAATATAGATTTACCTACAAGCTCAGCCTGCAGCCAAGGTCTGAATTACAAGCTCTGCCCAGGCACCATGATTGTAGACTAGAACACTTCAGGATGCTGTGGTTGGAGTACTGAGGCTTACATAGTATGAGGTTGTATTGTGCTGGTTACATGTGTACGTCTTCTGTTTAGTCACAACACACTATGTCAACAGGTGCTGTAACTTACTTTTATAGGGGAAGTTTTACTCAAGTGCATCTGCAAAGTGTGATACATAATTATTATATAGGTATAGTGTAGGTGGTTACTGTGGTTGAGATTACACGGCTGGTATACAATTTCAAAGATGGTCATGGACCCTAGTCATATAGAGTGCCTTGTTCTCTCACAGAAGTGGCTATTGTGAAGGCCTTGTTAGGGTGCATGGCTGTCCATTCATTCAGACCTTACTCTGAGATGTTCGCAGCATTCGCTTATACATGAGGATAGGGCGTGGACAACCAGACCAGCATTATTCACAACAGATCTGTATGGGGTGATCTAGCTACTACCATTTGCACCGCTAGTCAGAGTGACAGTTTAGTTAACAAAGTTGTTTGGTAGTTCTAACTATCGCTAGCAGTAGATTGTGTTTTGAATAGCTGAGTGGAACAATCATCTGTTGGGACCAACCATCAGCTGCACAAACTAATCGTATGTCTTACACTGAACAATTGTACACCAAACTAAACAAAGGCATGTGAATATACTTTGTAGCTACCAGCAAACATAAAGTCTTAGTTGAGCTATATAGATTGATGAAGGAATGGTAGCTAGAACAGGATGGGAAGGGGAAAGAACTGACTTTTGTCGGGATTCGTGACTGGAAGTCTAGTGATACACCAAGGCAAGGGGTTGGTCATACCATTCCCTCTTTAGAGCTACTCCTACCATCTCTTTAGTCAACTATGCATGTGTTGCCTACAGTACCGTATTGGCTGGCGCTGTTGAGAGATGTCTAAAGAGAAGTCAAAAGAAAAGAAGAAAAAGTCGAAAGAAGGTGGTTGCTGCGCTTGCTGTCAGTGCCAGTGCAAGAAGTGCTGTCGCTCCTTCATGTGGTTCATCTTCCTGGTCTGCGTGGCCTGGTGGCTCAGTCTGGCAGCTGCCACCATATACTGCTGTATCGCTCCCTACGCCGCCTGCTATGAAAAGCCCAAAAACTGTACCACAGTACTAGTGAAGGTCATACAGGCGCCGTACTATGTCACCACTTTCATGATGGGCGGTAAGAGCATAAAACAGGCTGCAGTATCTTACGTTGTGTATGCGTAACTGCTATATGCACATCTGCATGCATGTGACGCTATGTTATACACTAATGTCTGTTATCCTGTTCTTTGTTACAATTTGGCTACCCATGCATGTGGATGCTTTTGTGTAATTATCACTCTATTTGTTCAAGGATGCCATTCGGGTGACATGCCCCAACTCATGAGCAATTCGCAATATCAACGAACATCATTCAAGATTGAATGTGTGAAAGTGAAATTCTCTGCTACAGGGTACATAATTAACGGTGGCGAGAAACAAGATGATCCGTGCGAATATCTGATTACATTCCACTGAAAATTCTAAAAATGGTCATGTCAGCTACGGAGGTGTTTTATACACAGATAAATAGAAGTGGTCACGTTTTGATCAGCATCCAGCCTTGCCAGCGACCATGTTGACGGCCACGGTGTAAGGGAGCATGACTCCCTTGTGGATGAAGTCGGTGATGACCTTCATACAGATACAGCAGGCGGCGAACGGCGAGAGGATGATGAAAAAGAAGGAGGCGAAGAAGGCCACGGGAATGGCGATGAAGATCAAGACAAAGAACCAGATGACGGACCACAACCAACCGAGAGCCATTCTCTCTCTCTCTCTACTCAGGTGATGGTGCACCGCAGGTCAGGGATACGTGAGAGCTAGCGGAGAAGAGACCGCAGTAGCCGGAAATGATAGTGCGCATGCGCAACAAGTTCGAGCATTGCTAGGTAGGTTGCCACAAAAATGTGGGACTTTGTGATATGCATTAGGCTGCTATGCAGTTCTCATGCTTGCCACATTACACAATGTCATGTATCATAAACTGTGCATGAAAGGACAATCATTTCATTCTACTATCAGCACAGGAGAGGAATTCATCAACGACTAGATGACTGAACTTCATCACGGCTGGCATCATCTCCTCACATGTAGCCAATATCTGTAGTAAAGACACAGACATGGAATGGAAGACTATATCAAAGTATAGTGGGCGTTATTCTGCACTGCAATAGAATGAACGACCAAGGCTGAGCTAATAGCTAGCTATAAAAGATAGCTGGCTAAAATCAATACAAGACGAAACAAATAACTTGGTGAAGCATTGTGTATACCTGTTCAGTGGGGACCATGAACCCTACAGAGCCACCATCAGGAGTGTCCTGTGGCCTCAGCTCCACAGTAAAGGCCACTGGAGCACAGTGACTGTCCTCCTCTCCTCCTCCCTGCTCCAACATCCTGTGTCAAGGAACACAGGGAGACTGTGTTATAATATTAGCCAATCAACTCCATGATTAGGGAGATACACCCTTTCTGTGTGAATATTGGTATCTATATAGAACTTACATGTAGTTCTGCTTACTGCATGGTCGTGTTAGATTAGTCTTAGGCTCCTGACGATATCAATATAATTATACTCGCACAAAGAGAGCTAGCTGTGTATATCACATTGCCACTGTGAATGCACTGACCAGTCTGGAAAGGTTCCAGCAGCAAAGTAGAGCGAGTGCATACTCTGAGAACCATACCTCACACCAGCCTGCATGGATGCATGATACATGATGCATTGTACATAGGTCCGTTAAGTATAGCTCAACCTGACTAGCATGGTAAGCCATCCAGCCTGATATGTACTCCATGCTGGCAGTATTGCCAGGGTCTTTGTCCGTCCAAGCTGAGCGTAAAAATTGTAGTGCCTAGAACACTAGTAGAAGATTATATATAAGATATAGACATTTTGTGTAGCCTCGTTCCTTTGCTACACTTAAGTATATTACGTGTGTGATCAAGTGGGTGGGGAAGGCCTAGGAAGGGAGGCTAATAATTTTTGCCAGACACCATAAGGGACTTTGAAGTATAGTCACAACAACAGTACCAGGTGGGAAGAGTATTGCTTGGCTGTAAGAGTGGAAGTCGATGGAGGCAGAGACGGGAGCAATGGAGTGGATGAAGCTGGTGATGGCCTGTACCTCCAGTTCAGAGCCAGGCTCTCGTCCGTGGTACAGAATGCTACATGGGTCATCTGAACTACCAACCTGCAGAATGTATACATACCACTAACCACTGCAGTGCTGAGGATAATCAAGCAGGTTAAAATATTGTATGCAGCACTATAATTATGCTACTATGTTTTATATGTGGTATTCGTTGTCTGATGGACCTATCCATGCCGCAATGCATACGCGTACAACTGCTGAAAGGTTTGAGTTCATGTTCACCCACCAATAGCTATTTGTTCTACACATAAAATATCAGTGTAGTCACATTAATTATTGCATTAGCTATGTAGCTAGCCCTTTTCTTATTAGCATGGAATAGCGTAGGTACTACTTACGGACACTACTGATGGCATACGTACATACCAAGCTCCAGTGAGCATCAAAGTTTCTGTTGAGGTCCACTCCATCGCAGTCTGGGTTGGGAGTTGGAGCAGTGTTCTTCCTCCACAGTCGGTACTTAGGGTATTCTCTCCACGTCAACTGCATACATTGTACAAATACAAACGTCAACGAGGCCGAGAGGCAAAGGCAAAGCAAACAAGCTAATGATGCCATGGAACATCTATATGATTTTAACTTTGTTGCAAGGCAAAGGAAATGCAACAATTAAACTACACCCAGGAGATGTTTTTGAAAAGGTTCCCCTGGATTAGCCCGTACGTCATAGTGCTCTTTGTACCGAGCTACTGGGACAGCTCAGATGGCAGGGCTCAAATCTACAATACAAAGCAGCACAATGCAAGGGGTATTCCTAGCTTTGGGCATAGTCTGTGTAGGTTAAGTTAGGTCAGTTGCATGCCATTTTTCACAGGTATTAAGCAGTAAGGATGTTGTTACTGTTGAAGAGTTAAATCTGTGACTCACATGATAGCCATCAGGATTGGCCACAGGGACTATAATGAGCTCAATCTGCTTCAGCAGCTATAGAACCAGCCACACAAAGACATAGGTTAGACTTCTTGTGTGTTTATTACGTCTACAGTAATAGGTTTCATAATAATACTATACTTGCCTCTTTGGTTTCAGGGTCAGGGTTGGCAAAGTGTCTGGCAATGTACATGCAAATCGGTCCACTGATCCACTCACCTGCATTCAACACAGAGTTTTAAAGTTGGAAAGGTTTGTGGTGGATAATTTTAAGTTCAAAATTCCGAGCATTGTATAAACGTGTGATATCATTTTGGATGACTTACGTGCATGCATTAGACACTGGAAGTAGACTTTTATCTTCCTCTGTGGATCAGATTTGTCAGTGATGCGGATAGCCATTATGTCAGTGTTGTGGTAGGTCTTTCCAATGGAGGAATTGACGGTCAGATATTGAGGATGAGCTGCAGCCAGGTCCTCAAACCACGAGTATATCTCTGGCAAGTCATGCTGGGAGAATACATCAAAACAGTGTATATAAGCTTCCAAGCAAGGAGATACGCTATGAGTGGATCAAGGGACTGAAGTCACTCCCCAAGAAAATGTCTATTCCATATGAACCACTTATGCCGTTAAGTTTGATGTAAAATACTCTCATGCTATGTTTGATCTGTTAAGCAGATGCTATGTTTTCTTGAGTAGATATATTTTATGAACTTACGTATTCAGTAAACCAATGGTCTTCCTTTCCACCACATTTTCCATACAGTACACAGTCTTTGTCCTCTGTAGAACGCTCAGTGCGAAGGGACTGCTCCTCCATTTCTTCCAACAACGACTCTTGAAGCCACTCCCCTGCAGTATCACTTAATTTGTGCCAGTTCTGTTTCAGCTCTTGTCTGAAGAGATTATGAAGGCCAGTCAGACGAACGCATTGCTTCAGTCCTATACCATCCAAGCTTCCTGCATCGTGTGCATCACTGTACACATGCACAGAGTGTGCGCTGGCAGAGATTATCTCCAATCCAAGCTGGTGACTACGGCGGATTAGATTGTGAAGCTCATCATCCTTCGGTGAACCACTGATACGTTGAGAAAAAATATAAAATTAAACCGGCAATCTTACAGTGCATAAAACCATATGGCTACAGTAAACTCCTCTCTAAGGACATCCGCCCTGAAGACACATCTATAATTTTGACACTGTTTGTTTCTTTCTCAAGAACAGCTTTCAAATGCAATGAAGAACATTTCACTAATAAGGACATTATCGTCTGTCCCACTGGTGTCTCGATTTATTACTTCATAGAGGTGCTCAACTGTGTAATTATCAGCACAGTTATTATCATATCCCGAGAATTGCTAAAACAGTCCATGAGTGGGCGACTCACCAGCTCCATATGTAGGCGTTGGGTGACTGGGAGTCGATGAGCGGCTCGCGAACTGGACCCTGGGTCTCGCCGGCTGCAGCAGAGATTGCTGTAACCAGCAACAGCACCAGCGGCAGCCTCCGCTCTCGAGGCATTCCTCCGGCTGAACGCAATTTACCCTCCTCAAAACAATAGCACCATTGTTAGTGCAGGCGCTGCACACACTATACTATTATAGTCCGCAGTTTGCGGATCCATCATGCGCATGCGCAAAACACGCGCGAGGGGCGGTGGCATCAGGGTGGTGCAAAGATGTCGGCTTTCGGGCAAGGATTCAACAGTCCTATTCCCCGAGGACAGCAGCAGCCCCAGCTTCTCCCCAGCGACCCTCGACTGACCCCGAGTCACTGGACTCCCCCCAGACCTCGCGGGGGCCTGGATTTCAGACCTCCTGGGGCTCAGGTCCCCCTGAGAACTGCACACCTGCAGTCAGCTGGCAGAGCTCATGCTCTACCACCACCACCACCACATGGTCTATTTCTTGGAAATCCGCAATCTCGTTTCCCTCCTATGGGTGCAATGCCATTCCCCCAACCACCATTTTCACCTCGTCAACTGCCCCCCGGCATTCCTTTTCCACTTCGACCCCCCAATATCGAACCCCCGGGGCCGTATTTCCGACCGCCACTTCACCCCACCCCCCAACCTTCACTCGCGCCAGCCCCGTCTATACTGGGACCTGGTGGCCTCTTTGGCCCCCGGTGGTCAAATTTCCCCAAGCCCCCTCCTCCACCACCGGACCCCACAGATGTGTTTCTTCAGGAGTGGTCGGCTGGAGTGACTGCTAGATACAAGGAGAGCCAGGCTACAGTGCAGGAAGACAGACCCATGAAGGCAAGCACACTCAGTCATACATTTTGTTAGTCTTTATGGTGTTTCTTTCCCCTTTGACAAATGCACTGGGACTTGGCTACATTAAGTGTGCAATTATGTACGCGTGTTTAGAGGACTAATTCTTGTTTTTGTAGAAATATACACTTTTGTGCTTCATGTCAGTTGATGTAAAATTGCAGTCCTGAGCAATTCTTCAAGATGTAATTTCTTGGGGGTTTGAGCACACTGGATATACTGTGTTGATTGTTACTGTTGCCCTCTTTACAGCCACATGTATTGGGCCTGCAGTTACGGGCATAGTTGGTGAGCTAGCTCCTGTAATCTCTCTCCCTAATCGACAGTCGTGGTCATTGCCTTATATCCTACGATGTATCCATTCTCACATCTAATGTGTGCTATAACCAATCTACTACTTTGTATATAATTATTGCTCTTTAATTTGTGTAACGATTAGTACAATCACAAAGTACAGTGTCTAAATGCACAAACAGTTCATTCTCATGCATCCTGCTCACACACACGAAAGAGTTACAATAATATTGTCTGTACAGTTGATAAGTAATAGCAAGGAAAGATTTTCAGAAAGTGAGGGTTTCTCAGACATAGCCTTACTGGTATCTTGCCCGATTTAGCGATGATATCGTTTTCTCTGTCTTGTCTCTTCCCCCTGTCCCTTGTCTTATCTGCTCCCTGTCTTACTCCCACTCCTCTTTCTTTCTCACGCTCTCTCCCCACTCTTTAGATACCAGAGGTCAGAGGTCTCCTCAGCCATGCCCTGTGTCTCCTGAGTTCTCTGGCTCAGTGTCGCAGAGAGCTGTCAGGGATGAGGGAGAGAGGAGAGGAGTGGGTGGCCACCATGACACAGGTCAACAACTGGCAGGTAATGACTCAACTTGACTAAGAGTTCATTGGTCTGTCTTTTTTTGAGACTGTGGAAAATAGAGTGGCTTAAATATTTCGTACTTTTTGCAAGCAAGTGGTGGGAAGGACAGACCAACCATCCATTCTCAATACCTGCCCCATAGCTTGAGAATGCAGTGCAACAACCTTTAACGGGTGACTAGATAGCATAAACGTTTCGTACTTTTTGCAAGCAAGTGGAAGTGAGGATGGGGTAACCAACCATCATTTATACCTTGACTATTGCTGTGGATTGCAGTGAAGTTAGCTATTTCGTATTTATGAGCAAGTTGACCATAACTGGAGGGATTTGTGCAGTGAAAGAGGAATAAGTGAATAAGTTTCGGGGAAGGACAGGCCAACTAACTATCTTTACTTGTGTGTGCTATCACGGGTTATAGAGACAGTTGGTGGAGATCAGAGAGCTGGTTGATCGAGGAAACAATGTACAGAGGCTGGGGAGAAAGCTAGCTGGCATCAAAAAGAAAAGGGTAAGGACTCACTCCTAGTATGTATTATAGCCTAAGCCTGTGAAGTCATCCGTGCCAGCACTTAGCATGCCACAATTACTTATGTAGACACTGTGTGTGTGTGTGTGTGTGTCTCAGGGTAGGGCGAAGGAGGGAGTGAGGAGGAGGAGGAGGGAGAGAGAGGAGGAGAGGGAGAGAAACGAGAGAGCTGCAGAGCTATGGATGCAGAAGAAGAGACAAGAAAAACTCAAGGAAGAAACGGTAATGTAAGAAGTCTACGTAATGTGAACATGTTTAAAGGCACACTTTGCATGATTAAAAGGTTTTCTGGTGTTTGAATGTTGCCGTTGAAGATTTGTTAAGCTTTAAAGCTTAGAATTACGTGTCCTCTGTGTTTCGTCTATGTTGTCTTTTTGAGGTGACGAAATTGTCGATGTCTCTCTTTGTGAATACTACTACTTATTTGACGTCTTCATGTAGCTGTATGATGTATCAATAGGAGAGAAGTGTCCACGCAGATGCTAGTGGTGTACTGGGCGAGGTGAGACGTAAACAGAACGACGTCCTGCACTACAGCAAACTCCTGACTGCACTGAAGGAGCTGAGAGATCTCAGAAGACTGACTCACAGGAAGACTGGTACATGATCCTTGACCGATTACCTCACTAAAGCCCCAAATTAGAAAACTGTGTATGAATTGTGGCGAGAGGGTGGTTTACCAGTCTCCCCCACAATACACATGCATGACCTTGCACAAAAGAATATGACATACATAGAGCGCTCGCCTAGAGAGCAGAGTGTCGTGGGTTCGAATCCCACCCAGGGCAGCTTTTTTTTTTCCTTGGAAAAAAATAGCTGGGTGTAGTTGATTTGCCTGTAGGCCTTAGATTTTCTCTATTTGTATGATACAGGCACTGCACATACCGTAATGGTTCTACAGTGATTCTTAATACGCGTGAAAGATTAAACTGCTTGCACTCCCTCACCAAAGTGTGTGGCATTTGTTCTCTTAACTACACAATGTGTTTGTTGTGTCAGGTGAGCCACTAGTGAAAGAAGACGAAGTGTTTGCAGCAGAGTGCGAGGCTCTATCGGGTATCCTGGAGGAGAGAGCCGGACTATACGAGGAGGAGGAGCATGCTCTCAGAGTGATGATACAAGAAGAGGTCCAGGAGAGAATGCTAGCAGGTGGGGGAGGGAGATGAAAGAAAGAATAGAGAGCATTGTCGCTTGAAGCAAGTTCGGTTCTCTAGCTACAGTACAACTGTGTGTTTAGTTGGCGTATAATTATATGCTGCCGTACTTGATCAAAAGGCACCTTAAAGTGAACAACTTGTGTGCAAGTTCTAGAATACACAGTAAGAGGAAGTCCATATACCACAGATGATGTTGTGAGGTATGTGTATACAGTTTGATGAGTGTTTTGTTGGCTACAGAATCGGCTGCTGCGACCGTTGATGTTGGAGCTAATAGAGATGGCGGGGAGGGAGGGGAGGGAGGAGGGGGAGAAGGGGATGCATCGTCTGGTATTCTACAGCCGTATGTGGACCACTATCTACAGGCTGAAAGGAGTGTCGAGGCTCTCATTAACATTAGGTGAGGGTTCTGGTCAACTAGATTGTAGGATTACAGTGAAACCTCTGAGTAAGGGGCACCTGGAGGACATCGTTACATTCAGAGGTGTCCCTTATTTGAATGTAGACCAAGTGTCTTTTATAGAGGAAGACCAGGTGTCCTTTATAGAGAGGTTTCATCTATATTTTGGTGGTTACCCTTTTGGAGGTTCCGCTTCATGCTATAGCCAACACAACAACTGGTTGAGATTGGTGTAGGGCACCTCTGAGAGAGGTACATACGTATGTATAGGTATGTATAGGTATGTATAGGTATGTATAGGTATGTATAGGTACCTACACTACCTCATTAGATCTGATGTGGAAAAAACCTTTGTGCCTACACGTTTTGTTTCTATCATAACAAGAGTAAATTGCTCCATGAAAAGTCCACCTACGCACACATTTAGCTTTACATAGGTAGTAGTACATTGGGAGAGGAGGACAAGTCAGTTGCATTTGGGAATGTAGAGGAATTCTTTGCGTTTTAGTGTATAATAGTGATGTGTGGAATACCCGGAAGTAGTGGGTGGTAGAGGAATTGACAGCTGTTGTAACTTCCTTTGTGGGGACTCTGGAATTTGGGTTGGAGTTGTTCTCATGAGCCCCACCCTAATTGGTCTCTTTCTCTCCACTTCTCCTCCCCCCCCTCCTTCCATTACTTGCAATTCAAAGCAGAGCTCATTGCATAAAGTAAAAGTATATTTCTACCCACCTTTCATATGTGTGTGCTGTTATGGATAAAGCTGTGTGAAAGTATGTATACACCACACCCTGTTCATCATGCAAATAATTGTGCTCCGACTCTTTAGTCCAAAGATTTTTGGCACATGCATAATAAGACAGGAATGTTTTGAGGGTTGTGTGTGAAATCTTGTGGCCAGTGACACTTTACGCCGCGAGGCAGGGAAACCACGAAAGTTTTATATCAGCAAAATTCTTGAACGGCTCCTGCTAATACAGAAAGGCGTATGGAGGACGCTTTGCTATTTTTTCAGAGCCAACTGGTAGAATTTTGTAGACAATTAATGACAGTTGTGCACTGATTCACTAAACTTTTTCTGTTGTTTATTTCCTGTTGCTATTGGTACATGCAGGAAGAGTTGGGACATGTATTTGTCTGTGGAGGGAACTCCTCTACCGCAGCAGCTGCCTCAGCTCTCTTCGCTGTCTCATAGCAGCCTTTGGAACGACTATTACACTACTCAGGACTAATAGCATGTGTTTTGTCGTCATTTCCGTTATGTGGGACGGGCGGAAGTTTTCCTGCGGAAGTCCACGCGCACGCGCTGCTGCACCTTTTCTCGCGTTTTCCGACCCCAGGTTTCAGTTTAGCCGTTCGTCGTTTTGTGTGCAGCACCAACTTAGATAGCAGCGTTGTGATGGCGGTCAGGGTGCGACTTTTTCTCTGTCTACTCTCCTTCCTACTTGTGACTCAAGCACGTAAGTTGGAGGACGGTCCGAACTTGTCATAAACACGTAGCTAAATAACTTGGTGTGTGGTTGTGCACCGTAAGAACACGTGGATCGCGTTGTGCGTTAGTGTACCAGCCCGGTGACTGTTTATGCGTTGGTGGTTGCATGAATATCTTTTCCCCTCATCGCTCCACTGAATATTGAATATATACTCGCGATTGTCGTCCTCTGATCTATCTATGGCTCTGGCTGTAGGCTAGCATTGTTGTGGAGAGCGCTTACAATACGTGAGCTTGTTCTGCTTGTGCCGCTAGATGTTCTAAACATTCTAGCTACTGAGATGTATTGTGAGCATGGAGATGTGCAATACTGTGTCGTGGGGAAAGGTAGCTAGTATGTGGACTGTAGCAGACATCATCCTGGGATGATTGATTTGGGGCTGTTATTAGTTTGTATTACTCTTGCTAGGGTGCACTTTGCCCAGAGTGTCTGATGTGGAGCTTATTTTAGCCCTACAACAGAAACTTGGCCCAGGATCAAACAGCCGCCTCTGCATAAATATATATAGACAGTGCGCAGTAGCAAAGCGAAAGGTTCACTCTCATACATTGCTAATGGAGCTTTGGGTGCAGTGCTCTAATGGTATGGAACTGCTCTTACAAGGACTCTCCGAATGAAGGACACTTATCTGTAAAGGACACGGTTTTGGTCGGTGCTGATACTGTCCCCTATATGAAGGACACACCTAAATCTATGTAGAGATGGTCCCAGTGTGTCATTCATACAGAAGTTCCACTGTATGAGAATCATTTAGCTGGTGTTATAATATATTATAGCCTACACTTGCCACCATTTTGTTTTTGCAAGGCAAGTAATTACTGTATCTTGTGTGTTAGTCTAAGAATGTAAGGTCAGGTGTGGGCCCTTTGGGAGCTTGGCAGTTTTTGTGGAGTTGACATGAGAGGCAGTTTCTATGGTGCCAAGTTTGTATGGGAGAGCTCCTGTGATATTGCACACATATCAACAATAGGCTGACCATGGAATGTTGTCCACCACATTAGGGAAGCCCTTGTACACCCTGGAATGTTGTACTGTGGGAAGAAGTATGTGTACATTAGCCATACTTGTACTACAAATGCATTACATGTAATTGCATTCTCTAACCACCTTATTTAGTAATCTTGGGTGTACCATAGTTAGCATGAGGGCAGAGGGTCAGGGATAGCTATTACTGGTATAATGTGGTGTCGGTAATTTGCAGGTAGTGTAGTGTGAATACTCGTGGTTTTCTCTAAGGATTTGCACTGACGATCTGCCTGTCTCTTTTACACCAAAAAGCATTACAGATAACGGACATGCCGGCACTGTGAAAGTTGTGCTTTATACAGAAAGTTTTGAGAGGCTGAGCATGTGGTTTGTGTGATTGTGTATGCCATAACCAGTCGTTCCTCGTTTGGAATAACTCACTGGCGAGTAAAATCAATACGGGAAACTTTGAAATTGCTTTCTATCTCAGATGAAAGAAGCCAATAATACATAAACAGAGTAAATTAGCGATTGAAATGCTGTCTATAGACTAAGGGATGTCCTGTACAAACCAGAGGAACAGGATCAGTGCTAATATTGACAGGAGTTTGTTCCTCTCATTTCCACATTTCCTCATTCTTGGTAGAGTGATGTGTGGTTGACACATCGTCCCCTCTTCCTCTTTTATCCACAAACCTTCAACTTACCTCAACAGTAAAGCCTGTGTCACTTCCTGAGTGACCACGCCTTGCATACCATATCATGTCACCACATGTTTATCTGAGCAGAGAGGGTTTAATTGAATCCAGACTACTGAATTTTAGCTCTGATTATGAAAGTGTTTGGGAGGGGAGTGATCTGCACAACCCTTGATTTTGTGGTTGCTTCTTGAGGATTATGTCCAGTGGTATACATGGATCGAAACTAGCTATAAAACTACAACATTACTGGTAGCCTATCTGTTGACAAGACTGAGTAACTATTCATATCCAAGTGTGTGTATTTCAGTGTTCACTGTTGTTTTGCTCTTCCCCATCATCACACATTATGACACCATACAAACATGGCAATACATACAGAGAGTCAAATGTGTCCGTTTGGAAGGCAACTTCGCCTGTGTTACAACCAGTGTCCTCTGGAGTGTGGGGTCGTGTCGACGCCCGACACCTGCCCCTCCTGCTCGGCTGGCTGTTTCTGTACCTCTGGTCTCTACGAGTTTGGGGACGTCTGTCTGCCTCAAGAGAGATGTCCTGACATTGACTTTGGTAGGTGACGGTGTGGGTTGGGTTATGGTGGGCGGAGCTACTACATAGGTAGCTACTAGGTTGTTTGAATTGCCTCCCCACGTTTCGTTGACCCCACCCACTTATCAACGGGTCTGGTAACTATGGACACATTTCTTTGTCCTAGATCTCGAAATCTCCAATCAGATTACAGAACGGGCAATCAACACCACGTGTCTCCGTAGCTCTCTGGACCCCTTGTAGGTGGGGTGGGGCATTACAAATAATAGGTGAACTTCTTGGATGATAATTATGTGACATCTTCCGGACCTGGTTTCACGTCAAAAGTTAGCAGACGTTTATTCTATCCCCTTGTGGGCCTTGGTACAAGACTGCCCCCCCCTCATTACTCCCTCTCTTCCTTCAATCTTATATCCATTTCTCTATATCTCTGTATCTCTATCCTCCAGGTAAAATACCTCTCGTGGACAAGTGCAGTGGCTACAGTAACTGTAGTGAGTGTATCTCCTCTGATCCAGACTGCCAGTGGTGTCCCTACGAACCTGTACGTATAATTATGATGTGGACCAGTATAATGCTTTAATACAATGGGTCTCACTTACTAAAGTATGTTAGGCGGGATTTTCTATTATAGGTGGTAACGGTATAAATGGAATTTTCAATGCTTTACATGGGATTTTGATTGAAGATTAATTAGTGTTTCCTTTACTGAGAGGTGTCCTTATTCAGAGGTTCAGGTGTAAGGTTCAACATTATATACTCTACTTGACTCTGTGTTCATTCAGTGTATGTATCATCATCCTCACATTGTATGCCTTACTCCTACACCATTATTTTATATATCTGACCTGTCACGTATGTACTGTACCATGTCATGGTCATACATTGTGTGGTGTAGGGAGAGACGTCAGTGATACGCAGCAGATGTAGACTGAGAAGTAAAAACCCACTGTGTCCAGTGGAAATACAGGACCCACAACCCAACATCACTGCATTGGAAGATGTACGTACAATGTCCTGTGTACTTCAAACTATAATACAGTGGGACCTCCTCTGATCCAGGCACGAAATAGAACAGAAAAAGGTGTCCATATTAGTGAGGTGTCCTTGTTTCACGTGATCATATTGTGTGGTGTATAGGGAGAGACGTCCCACGCAAGAACTTTTCCTTCGTATGGTAGGATAGAGAGATTTTCCTTGGTGTCCTTAGAAAGTTGTTCCACCTAATGTTTGCACCACTGCACTATGCTTGATACGACGGCAAAGTGAGGTAATGTAGAAAGGCACAAAGGAAACAAACAAGTCAACTACTCCTGTAACTCAGCGACCATTATAGAACTGTACTGTTGTCGACTACAGGAGGATTTTGGAGACACTGTCCAGAGAAGACCTCAGAAACTGAAGATTCAACTGAGAAGAGGTTTGAACTGAATACTGTATCCACCTCACCCAGTGTAGCTGCATTAACAACTTTGACGTAGGTATTATAAATTATTGTGGTCTTAGAGCCTGTGCCTGCCACCCTACATTACTTTGTAGATCAATAGGTAGAAATAAGTGCTCTGCCTAGAGAGTGGAGTGCCGTGGGTTAGAGTCTCACACAACTAGTGTAAAGTGGGTATATAGCTTTGCCCTCTCATTGAAACCATGGCCCTGTGTATTCATCATCAATTCCTTTCCATCATTTTCGTCATTGTTTGTTATCAAAAGTCACAAAAAGCCAGTAAAATCAATGCTGCCCATTTCGGAGAATTGAATTACTCTCTCAAGTGAAATAAGTAACAGTCACTGACTGCCCATATTGACATTACAGACCGACGTACAGACAAGAGTCAAAAATCCAAATGCCTGGCTCCTGCATACTACACACTCACATGTATTTCTTATTGTTGCCCACCATCTAGGTCAGCCAAAGAACTTCACACTGCAGTTCCGTGCAGCGGAAAACTTTCCTCTCGATGTCTACTTCCTACTGGACATGACCGGTTCATTCTCCCAGAGGTTTAGGACCACTGTCGCGCCTCTTGCTGCTGACCTGGGTAAGTATAAATGTATATACACCTCTTAGGGGAATAGTGGGACGGAATAAAGTGTTAAAGATTAACTGCGGATTCAAGAACTGTTCTTGGGGAGGCCTTACTGCAGTGAAACTAATCCCTAAGGACACCCTGTAATGAGGATACATTTCTAATGAGGACACATAGAAGTATGTATATTATACCTGACTAATAATATAGGCACCTTCTTCTCCCTTTGGTGTCTTCATTAGAGAGATTACACTCTACCACTGTTCAAATATTCTCTTTAGACAACTAACAACCTTGCTCTAGATCTAAGGAGCAACTTTGACAACCTTTCTTGTAGATTCCCCATATAAGCTACTAACACACACCTTTAGTTGACACAGTCCCAAGTACTTTTGGTTATGATTTTTCTCCTCACGTTTCGTACTGTACAGTGGCTGCACTGTCAAACATATCACAGGAGTATGCAGTGGCGTTTGGTGGCTTTGCAGACAAGCGAGCTATACCATACTCTCTTCCCAGCCAGGATCCAATGACCTACCAACAAAAGGAGTCTGCTACGAGTACAGAGTGAGTATTAGACTGAAGAGGTTTGTGTGCTCGAATCCCACTCAGGGGCAGCTCTAAGTAGTTGTCGTGGGTGTAGTTGCCTTGCCTTTACCTCGTGGCTTGTTGTTGATCATGCGAAACAACATGTTAGTGCCCTAAACCAACAACAGTGAAACCAAAAGCAGGGCCTCTGAATAAAGCACACCTCTCCATAAAAAACAATTGATTCAGTCCTTGCGTAATATATGTATACATTAGTACCTCCGCATCTCTTAGAAAAGTACACTGGCGTCCCTAAGTTGTCCCTTATTCAGAGGTTTCACTGTACTTCTCTCTCTTTCTCTATCTCTCATTTCTCTCTTTCTCTCCCCCTGCAGTACGTATATATGCACCCACAGAACCATCTCAAACCTGGCAGACTGCAATCCCACCATTAGCTTCAGACACACCACCAACTTCTCACAACTGGAGGGAGACCAACTCACTGTATGTTCGTCTTTCAGTGGAAAAAAGTATTGGGTCAAGTTGATAATAGATCAACAGCAGATATTGATGTGTATATGTTGGTAGAGTGCTGGCCTGCAGAGTGTCGTGGGTTCGAATCCCACCCAGGGCAGCTCTTCTTTTTTTCCCTGGAAAAAAAGAGCTGTCCTGGGTGTAGTTGACTTGTTTGCTTTGCCTTTGCCTTTCTACCTCACCTTGTTGTTGACACATTCATTTAAGAACTCAGCAACATGGTCGGCATTTTCAGAGGAGTCTTGGAATTTTACTTGTTGTTTCCAGTGTAATGGAGACTGCCTGTTACCGTCACATTGCAGGAAGTTCTGGAGAACATATCAATTCATCTGAATGTTGACGGTCTGGAGGGAGGGATGGATGGACTGGTACAAGTCCTCGCCTGCTCTGAGGTATATACGTTCTACCATAAATACAAATGCAAAGCAATAAGATACGTAAGCAGAACAACTTAAAAACTGTATGGTAAAAAGTGTGTTTTGTACTCCTCCATAATATGCTAATTGTTATACTGCAGCAAGTAGGGGGGAGAGAGCTAAGTATAAAAAAAAAGCATAGTAAAAAGTGTGGCTCCATATTACGCTAGTTACAATGCTGTTCTTCTGTTACTGTGCAGCAAGTAGGATGGAGAGAGCAGAGTCTTCGTATGTTGCTGTACATGAGCAACGCTGGCTTTCACTTGGCAGGAGACGGAAAGGTATGTTTATGCTGGGAACTTACATAGACATACACACGTGTATGTGTGTGTATGCATGTGTGGGCATATTATTGGCCCTTGTTGTTAGTGAAATATCAATGCATGTTTGTGTGGGTGTTTGTGGTCGGCGAGAAGGTATATAGTGTAGGTGGTACAAACCATTAGACGACTCCACTTAGTAAACAGTCTTTATCCCACTGTTTTTTTGTATGCACTATACATCACTTGTTTTTTGGCTATTATGCTTCCCAGGGGACACTTTGACCCCCCAAATTAATAGTAGGCGTGCTGTTATTTGTTGGTAATGGGGCTGATTGGCCCGGCCCCAGCACTGAATCTCTGGGGCTATAGCTCTGCATAATGTGTGGTAAACCCCTGCAGGTTGGAGCAATATTGGATCCTAACCCAGGGGAGTGTCTGCTGAGGACTGTGACTGAAGATGGAATGACTTTCAATGAGTACTCGGACGACACACGCTACGTGAGCTCCTCTATAATGTGCATGGCTCTAATATTACCATGATACCAGGGGCCCCTCTTGCATGATTGTGTCTCTGTGTGTATTGGTAGCTAGAGTCAGAGTGCATGTTCTTTTGTAACATGGTTGGATGGTCTAGATTGACGTTAGCACATTCTGATAGAGTTACCACTATTTAAACGTCTTGCATGTGAAGTCAGTTTTATGCGAAATATGGTGTCTATATTGATTGAAGTACATTAGCAGCGACCAAAAAAGTCCACAAATAAAATTTCCTCCTCCAAAATTTCCAGTTACGCAGTGTGTATTGTTTCCAATTCGACCAGTCAGATCAAACCTGCCCTACCCTAATCATACACACCGGTGTACACTTTTTGACAGTGCATTGAAATGGTGTTATTTTGCCGTCCACAGGACTATCCGTCAGTCTACCAACTGGGAGAGCTGGCCAGAACCTCTGAAACCAACATTGTCTTTGCTGTCACCAGCGAAGGTACCAATCCTAACGCCCTCAGGGATGTCTATCAGGTAACATATTATGTATATATATACACAGTTCTTTTATGTTGTACCAAACACAAATACACACTTCCTTTAGTACATAACTGTACATACACACTTCAACTTCAACACTATCACATACACACTTCAACTTCAACTCTATCAAACATAGTATCAAACATACATAACACACAACCTTTAGTATCACCCTCTTGTTTCCTTTTCTGTTGCACTGATGCCAAATGTTCCTTAGCAGCGTATAAAACCAGCTACACAGCATACAACTCCAGCATGTTGAAGAAAAGCTATTTAGGAGGGCCCTGGGTAGAGCTCTACGATGAATCTACAGTAGCATATCTCAGTCAGTGTGTGATGATGTAATGGTGATGTAATTGCAGGACCTGGCGGACGAGATCACACCGTTTGGTCGCGTGGTTGCCTTGGAGGCCAACTCCTCTAATCTCATCTCTGCCATCCAGGAGGCTTACAATGTGAGTGTATATATACTACTCTGTCTCCTCGCCTTACTATTCACTGAGATAAAAAGCTTTTGCAAACATTTTGAAAGGATTTATGATAGCAGGCCGTGTTTTCCAACCAATTATGTTGCGTGACTGCATTCTTCTGCTCCCCAGGATATCAGTCAGGAAGTGGTGCTGTCTCTACAACAGTTCTATCCGGGTTTGAACTTCACATTCACCCCTGGAGAAAACTGTAGCAGGTATATATACATATATGCACCAACTTCATGTGCATTCTGGCAATGCGTTTTTGGCAAGCGAAGCAAGCAGTGGGCATAAAACCAGACCTTTGAACCCTTAGCACTTGCCATAAACTGTATGCAAGTGTGCAATATGTGGTCCATGGGCTACAGGGCTGATGAGGGGAGGTGTACTAATGTGACTATTGGAAATACTGTCTCCTACACTGTCACCGTCAACCTCACCAGCTGTGAGAATGTTCCTGATGAAGCGTAAGTCAATCACCTCTTCCTCCTTTTCCTTCCCCTTAACCCTCATCCACTTCCTCCTTCTCCTCCTCCCCCTTATAACCCTCATCCACCTCTTCCTTCTCCTCCTCTTCCTCTGTGTGAATTTATTTTTATTTTGAAGCACCTCCTTAAATACTCCACAGTTTCCCTCATATTTCCCCTACGAATTTCGGTTTTTCGGCTACCAAGCAATTTTCCAAGGGAAGACTGTTATATCATTCTTCCCAACCCCCTTTATCATCCAAACATAATGCACATTATATGGTACACTTTGGCTATATATGGTTGTATGTCTCATTATTGAGTGTGTTTTGTGTGCAGTGTATTGACGTCTCCAGCATTTGGGAATGTGAGGTTGTTGATAGAGGCCCTCTGTGACTGTGACTGCAACCAGGAGATTGTGAGTTTTACACCGCCTTCAATAATGAGTATGGACCTACACATAAAAAAAACTATACTAGGAATGCGCACGCGCATATTTTGCCTCGCGCCTGCCAGCCAATGCGTAAACAGTCCGACTGATCATGAGGCCGCTCGTGCGCGCGCTCTACTGACTGCACGTGAAGCCAGACTTCCTACGAATCTGCGCACACGGCGGAAATTGACATTCCTAAGCGTGAATAATTGACATTCTTAAGTGTGACGAACACGTTACGTACGTATATCGTGAGAATACAACCCGGAGTAGTTGCCGCACGCTAGCGCGCTTGGCAGTTATGACATATCATAGCCATTAGCCTTTACATGTGTTCTTTATCTACAAAATTATTAGCACCGGTGGAAACAGGTATAGAGAGGTGTCCTTACTTCGAGAGTGTCCTTTGCAAGAGGTTCCACTGCATATTTATTCACATGTGCTTCAAGATAATATACAATATGCAGTGCCGAGCACATAGATGGTGACATGTGAACATGTTTTCATGTTGGGAACTGGAATGTGCTGCATCTAGTAGTGTAGGAATGTATGCACAAATGCAGGTACTGTTAGTTTATCAGTCAAGATGTTCTCTCCACTTCAGGTTAATAACTCTGAGCAAATGCGGAGGTGTGGGCAACCTGCAGTGTGGACAGTGCCAATGCCCTGATGGATGGTAAGTCTTTGCCTTACCTCTACTGTCCATGGTAACTTGTATACCACTGCTATTTGAAAGAGCTTTGCTATTATCTTTTTAATAGTTTCTCAACAGTACAAATATTGTGCGAGTAAAAAGTGTTGTATGTATCTCACTGTGCAGGTCGGGTGAAATGTGTGAGTGTGAAGTCCCTGAAGGAGAAGACCCACCTACCTGTGCCACGTAAGTAGTTACTGACCAGAGAGTCTATTTCTAATTGGCGAGATAAGTGAGTCATCTGAATGCACAAATTTTCAACAACAGGACTGTTCACTCATGCTAGCATCACGCCAGGCAACACGCCAGGCAACAACTAATATGTACTACATAAGGGCGCAGAGATGCATAAAATGTGTGTTGTTACTGCAGTGTGGATGGAGAGCCAGAGTGTACAGGACCCAGCAACGGATACTGTGACTGTGGTACCTGCAAATGCTTTGTACAACAGGAGCTACTGAGAGAGGTACATTGTACACTTCTAGACTTTGCAGTGGAACCTTTCTCTAAGAACACCTCTGAAACGAGGACACCTCTCTATTAAGAGCATTGCAGTAATAGGAATGCAGAGCCTGCCAGTTAATAACAGGCTAGTTACTAAGGGTATCAGCTCTCCACTCTGCAGCCCAGTCATGATTGACTCCATTGGTGGCCATTTTAAACTACCCCTGTAATGTGTGTTAGTGGAGACAAAATTCTTACTAATTTACAAATGGTTGTTAAATAGGAATGTAGTATATAAGGGCTAACTGTTACAAAAACAGCTTTTATTGGTCTCTAGTATTACAGTCACATTGCATATTGATGTATATGATTACACAGAAGAATTTCACGGAGCCCTATTTCGGTGGCAACTGTGAGTGTGACTACGAGTCATGTGGCGGGAACCTTACCAGTGACGGGAAACTGTGCTCAGGTGATTAGTGTAGCCCCTTCATTTACAGTTACCCCTGAAATGAGAGTGTAATGTACATATATGTATGTTATTGTATCTCCCTGTTAACCCCTGGACTGCTAGTAGTTTGAGGTTTGCCTTTGTGTTGTATTCGAACCCCTACCAGCAGAGTTGCCCTGGTAGCTCAGGTGCATATGATTCTTCAAAATTCACACAGAGGTAGCTCAGTTGGTAGAGCGCTCCCATAGAAAGCAGAGTGTCGTGGGTTCGAATCCCACCCAAGGCTGCTTTTGAAAAAGATCTGTCCTGGGTGTAGGTGACTTGTTTTCTTTGCATTGCCTTTCTATATACCTTGTTGTTGACAATAATAAGTCAGTAAGATTTTCCCTCTGTTGCAGGAAATGGGGAGTGTGTTTGCTCTGAAAGACGGTGCCGCTGCTTCACCGAACCAACGACCCAGATCACATATAGAGGAGATATTTGCGAGTGCGACCCCAGAATATGCTACAGCGAGGAACATGAAGATGTGAGCTCTCTACCAGTTTCACAGTGTTACAAATATTATGTGTGTATGGGTTTGAGTTGCACCCAGGGCAACTCTCTTTGTTGAGAAGTGTTGTATTAGTTGTAAATGCACAACTAATGATTATGCAACTGTTTCCTGCCTGAGGTGCGAATGGTCAGTATACTCTTTGAGTATCTGTCAGTCCAGGGTAGTGCTACAGTACATGATGCCTCCTCCTCCTAACCCATGTTCATAGCCTGTTCTTCTTATGGCTATGCACGAGTAACCAACAACATGACTCTAAACTTGGTCTTAAATGAAGTAACAGGTCTTTGACAAGAGACTAATAGCAGTGTACATGTGTACCACATGAGACTAATGCCAGTCAGTGTAGTGTATGTACCACATGATCCACATGACTAATGCCAGTACACTGTGTGGCCTCTTCCAGGTGTGTGTATACACGGGGAGTCTGTCTAACCTCCCCAATGCTGATACCAGGGCCTCCTGTGACCCCTGCAATGGCTGTCAGTGCAGGGCCGGAACCGTCCCCGGGCCCGATGGAACCTGCGATCCTGTGAGTGGGTTTGTTAGCTGTGCCAGTAGCTGGGGTTTATATGGATTTGAAATAATTATTTAGGAGAGTGTTTGGCTTGCATGTTTCCTTACACACCCATGCTAATCTTCCTTCTTCCCTCTCCTCATACCTCCCCCACCCCTTCCATAATGGATCCTTTCTTTAACACACGCAGCTCTCTCTCCCTCTCCCTCTCACCCCCTCCCCCTTTCTCTTCCTCTGTCTTCCTCTTTGTCCTTTCTTACTCTCCATCATTGTCTCCTTTCTTTAACTCTCTCTCCTCCCTCTCCCTCCCTCTCATCCTCCAGCTCTCTGTTTCTACTCTCTCCCTCTACTCTTTTATCTCGTCCTCAGCCGCCTCTCGCGTCTCTCACGTCCCAGCTCTCTCACTCCCTCTGCCGCTCCTCCTCTCCTGTCGCTCCCTCTCTCTCCTCCCTCTCCCTCCTCCCTCTCCCTCCTCCCTCTCTCCCTGCAGCAACCCGACTTGTGTCTGGTGAACGAGGAGTGTGCTCGCTGTGCCAAAGGCCTTCAGTCAGAGGGCACTGACTGCACCATGCCTCGAGGCCAAACATGCAACTCCGAACTCTTCGATGACGATGAAAAAAAATGTAAGTTAACACGTGTAACACTTTCCAGTGAAACGTAGTCTCCACAAAGATATACTTGGTTCTGTCCCATACTTAGTGAATTATATTTCCCTTCGAAATAAAGAACACCTTCGATGATGCAGGTCTCCCTCTATTAACTTTAAAAGATGGTCACAATTGATAGCAAATTTTGTATACACTATAATGCAGATATTACAGTATAATGTATAGGAACCCTAGATCGTAGTACTAATCTTGTCTGTCCTGACAGCTGATGCTCCGTGTACATTTGTTGATGATGAAAACTGTGTCCACACATTCTACGTCCTGCCATCTAAAATCCTCGTTGATGAAATGAGAGGTTCGTTTTGTACCGTTAATGTAGCTAAATACCTGCGAGAAAGCTGCAGTCTCATATTACTGCCCATTCAGCACCTCAAATGTGGAATACATAGTGATAATGTTGATCAGCCACAGTATAAGTAGCAGGCCGAAAATTTCGTGATAGATGTGTGACATAATGCTCCTTGAAATACGGTACTTTTGCCCTCTGTCCGACATACAGCATGTCCAGCCACTACTGATGAAGGTATTGGTAGCCAACTGGTGTGGATCATACCAGTCGCTGTCGTAGCTGCTCTACTACTACTGGGTGGTCTTATCCTTCTCCTTGTGCTCCTCCTCATCTGCATCAAGGTTTGTAATTATCTTAGCCCTAGATAGCAAGTAAGGTGTTTATTGTCCATTTACTTGTTTTGATTGGACCAAATGTGCGTGTCTGTGATAGCTTACCATAATGCAAAGTAATCAACTCCATAATCAGCAGAGAACCCACTATTAGGCACATGTAATACATACAACATGGGAAGGTGTTTGTGCGTGCGTACGTGTGTGTGTGTGTGTGGTTTGTGCGTACATGTGTGTGTGTGTGTGTGTGTGTGTTTGTGCGTACATGTGTGTGTGTGTGTGTGTGTGTGTGTATGTGATGTGATGTGTGTTCATCCCTGTTTGGCGTGTAATGATATGAAATGTATGGTTTTCACAGGATCGTCTGGAGTATTCTCAGTTCAAGCAGGATCTTGAAGACGCCAACTGGGATCAGGTGAGCCTAAACTCTCACACGTCATTACGTACTATGGTACAGTGGGACCTCTAGATAAAGAACATAGTAGTGATGTAGCCACACCCCTCACGTAAATGGAGAAATGTCCACTGTCAAGGTTCTCGACAGTAATTATCGCATTCATAGCTTACGTGGTGTAAAGGTGTCCTCATTTCAGGGTGTCATTAGATGTAATGCGTTGTGTCTATATTCCGCATTTAATTGCATGCAGGTAGAAGTGCTAAGTTATATTCACATTAGAGAGATAATCTGGGGTGTCCTTAGAGCGGGGTTCAACTGTATTAATCCTGTCAGTGATATATAAAGGTTTTTTCTCTCTGATCCCACAGCAAGAGAACCCAATGTACGTGTCGCCACACACGCAGTACAGCAATGTGACATACAGACCAAAGGCGGCCAAAACGGCTCAGAAAGAGTAGTGAGGTTCACGAGTCAGACTCTGTTCTTTATATATAGGAGATTCAAAAATCATCAACACTGACCTTTACCACCCTCTATACACTCACACTCTATAGTCTCTAAATAATCCTTTAGTCTATGTTGTATATAGTTTATACTGAACATGTATTGTGACATTAAACTCATGCTGACGTGTTGAGTTTTGTATCACATTCTGCACTTTTTCATCCATGGTCCAAGTGATGTTTTTTTAATTAATAATCAGAGTGGTTTCATAGCCTGTGATCCTGATGAAGTATTTGCTATCACGGATTCCAGGGGGGGGGATCTTTATGTCCAGCTAGGATATTACCACCTCTCCATACCAAGTCTCAACTATGGTATAATTATACAAACTCTCGTCTTGGCGTGAATATGGTGCACAAAAATGCATTGCGCATGCGCATAATGTTTACGCCACCCACACACTTACACTACGCATTATATACGCGGCGCGGGTGGAGTTGCATCTGGCTGTCGGCGCTGTCGGTTGGTCTCGGAGAACCCCCTTGCAGTCTAGCCAATCTCCCAGCTCGCCCCTGCATTTCCATTGCAGTACCAACAGTTTCCAATTTACAGTGAGATGTACGCTGCTCACCTGCCCGCCCCATCGCTACTGCGATCACTAGCAGACGCTCGGACGGCCCTGCTGCTGCTAATGCTATCGCTGCTGCCGTTTGCCGGTGTCTGCTCTACAGCGGCCGGTGAGTGAGAGTTTTGATGCCTGTTTATATAGCACTAACTCACGGCTGTGCTCGTACTAGATTGTAATGCTCATTTCATGCACACATGAGCTATATACAAGTCTAGCAATGATCCGCTCTACTCGACTCCTGCTGCACACGCCCCTTCAAAATGCTAGCTAGCTAGTTTTAGCTATACAAACATGGGCGTCGCAATAAGAGCAGCAATAAAAAGACACTGAGTGTATTACTGTACTACAGCTACATAAAAGCATGCATGGTGGCAAATACCAGGTGGATATGGCGTCTGCACTGGACCCCACACACTATATACACACTTGGCACCATCACACAACTAGTTTACAACTCCCTTCTCCCTCTAAAGCTCTACTCTAGCATGACAAACGCCTAACAGCCCAGTAGCATAAGTAAATGTGTGAGTACATGACCACGGCAATGATGTACATGAACTTCTCTCTCTCACGACTAATGTCTAATTGTGCCTGTCCTCCATTGCTCACTATATATATTCATACACTGGGATTTTCAGTGGGATACGTACAGTGATATCCTCACACGTCTGCTGTGTCTGGAGTGAGCTAAGACTCTTAGTATTTTGCCTCCACACATTCTGAGAGAGTAGTCCAGAGACTCTGGTGCATATAGTGTGACGCTATATTATATCAGTTACATGCGTAGGTGTAGCGCACTGTGTGTTATTATGGAGGGTGGGTGTGACACTCGATATGTATGCTAAATACTCGGAACATTAGTAACCATGTTTGATATGCATACACACCTTTAATGCTGCAACTAATAGGTTTTTGTTGTGAGTGTATAGTAATGCATTGCTGCATGACATGCGGCTTCTTCCACTGCCATGCAATGTAAGAGCATCTGTTTGTGAAATGAATCTCGCAGCACGTTACGTTGAATGTTTTGTGCAAAGGACGAGGTACTGTAATATTATGGAAGTTTGAATGTCAAAGGCACTGCAGTGCGTAATTATTGGCAGATGTGGAACCCCTAATGACCTCAGGCATTTCTCAGATGTTGGAATTTTTGTTACTGCATCAGTTAATATGTATTACTGTGGAACTCCTCTCTAAATAAATGAGGACACCTCTGTAATAAGGGCACCTTTTCTTTCCCCAACAACAGTTCTTGCATGCAACTAGCCGCTTGTATAACCTTTATTCTGCCCACTGGTTTCTGAATTATAAGGGTTTACATTACACATTGGCAATATCAGTAGGATGTGTACTTTAAAAGAGATTCTTAAAAGTCATGACTGATTTGCACCAGTGTCCCTGTCCAAATTGAATAATTTACAAACTGTATTGTGCTGTACTATGCGGGAAATATGACACTGTGTATAAATCATGTACACTACAACATGTACAGGTATCTGAAACTCCTCACATTGAACTTCACTTGCGTCACCCATGTATGTGTACACATGTTTGCTTGTAGTGTTACCATAGAGAGCCAGGGTTTAGTTGTCATCTTTGAAAGGATTAACAAGTTTAATACTCTTGTACTTGGAATTGTGAACCTCTTCAATAACCCACATGCATACCTACCAACCATCCCGGAATTTCCGTGAATATACCGGGAAATTGGGTTGCACCCTGGTATCCTGGAAAATTTTCGGACCGGACGCGCACGCGTTTGGCCTGCCCGTCGTGCGTATCGTGCGCGAGCACATCGTGACACTTGACCTCCATGAACTTTCAGCAGCAAAGACAGCTACAGAGCGAAGCTTTCATCAAGATCATCACTAACTCCATTCCTAATACTTTGTATTTTTTATGTGTGCTAGTGTACCATCACTTCTTGTACCAGCCAGTTTCTGTAAAGTATTGTAATCAAGGAAAATTGATAATAAACAAGGAAAATAAATAAAGGGCCCAAGGAAAAATATCCCTGTGTGTGTTGGTAGGTTTGCACGTGACCAGGAATAGCAGTCTGATTAAGGAAACAGGCAGGGTACATTTCTTGTATTGCTGGAAACATAGAAGGGCACTACATGTACTGTATGCAGCTGTGTCTAGAAGAGTTTTTCTCTATAAAACCCTGCCTGTGGTCTGTCTGTCTGTCTGTACAGTGGAACCTCCTAACAAGTTACACTGAGGGGGGCAACAGTTTCCTCCATTGTAGAGAGGTCATCCTTATCTCAGAGGCCAAATACATAATACACTTAAGTATTAGCATGGGGTTGAAACAAGTGTCCTTTGTGGAGAGGTCGTCCCTATCCCTTTATATCAGAGGTTCCACTGTAGTCTAGTACCCAGTCGCTCCGCCCACAAGGAAAGAAGGAGCCTCTGGTAGCAAAACCTGGTCCTAAAAACGTCATATCAAAACCACCGCTCGTCTATTATGTGATGCATACAAGGCCTCGCCTACCAAAGTCTAAAGATCATGGATCCACTGCGATGTTGGTTGGCTGTTCTGAAATCTGATTGGAGATCTCAATATCGAGACCTTGGACCTAAAACTGTGTGAATATGTATTAGTTACCAGACCCCTTTTTCTTGGGTGGCGTCTGAGCACGAGACTATATATGTAGTGAGATAACAAAAGTTTTACATTATTCTTGTCTTCTTCTCTCTGTTGCTATAGAGTCGGTGTGTTCATTTGGTCGTCTCCCGTTCTCCTGCTACACTGGGTGCCCTCCTATTAACTGTGACAGCAGCGTCGAGTCCTGCACGGGGGACTGTGTCTCTGGCTGCTTTTGTCCTCGTGATCTTTTCCAACTGGGATCACAGCTGTGTGTCGAAGAGCAACACTGCATAGACAGCAGTATGCACAGTATTAATAAACTTGTACGATACTCGGAAAGTTCCGGAACAAACTTTATTTGTATGGGTGTAGAAGTAATCTCTGGCATATCTCCATTAACACTTGTGTACTGTTTTAAGATGAAGCTAATATATAGAACTGAAATTTCTTGAGCCAAAAATGTCAAATCTTGTGATTAATAATACCTTCCGTATTAGTGCCATGTAATCTTATAGACTTGTGGGAGCTTTGTTCGACACTCCGTGTCTGTGGTTTTCAAAGTTCTGAAAATAAGTAGCGGTAAAGGATGTTGGGGAAAAGCACTGATTACTGGACTTTCAAACACGCCCTGTGTTATGTCATCAGGTGAAGTTGATGACATTCCAGCTGTGGACAAGTGCAGTGGATACAGTGATGACTGCAATGAGTGTATCTCCTCTGATCCAGACTGCCAGTGGTGTCCCTACGAACCTGTACGTTGTACTATACAACTCTTGCGGTAAACATACATTATGTCTCCAAGTCAATTCAACATCATAATACATACATACCTAGGCAGTGTAACTTGTATATCGATCAGTTGTACCTGTCATACCTCTTATTATGTTGTCATAAATGGTCTATATTAGTTGGAGACATTGTTGACAGTTACTGAGTGTATTGTTGTCTGTTTTGTTGGGGATGAACCACCCTTGTATATAGCAATTCTTGAAAACACCAGTAATTAGGAAGTTGACTTCCTGTAATATGATTGTTTATTGTCGGAATCTACTGAATTTTATTGTTCTATACACACTTCGTACCGAATTTTAAATTTCACGTGATTATGCCAAAACTGCGACCATCAGCATGTGAATGTGTAGCATATTTGTGATGCCGGTGTTGTATTTTCCACGCTTGGGTATAGTACTAACACCTGCTGCTGAGCTGCTGCTAGGAGCTGGCTCCCAACACATGCTGGTTTCTTAGTCTGTTTTTCAATGTTTCAGGATCACTAATGTTGCACAAACCGATATTTAGTTCTATCAACGCATGTGACGTACATATACTTTATGTAGGGAGAGAAGGCAGTGAAAGGCAGTCATTGTCGACAGAGAGGATTGAATCCAGTGTGCCCTGAGGAGATTATTGACCCCGCCCCTCTCGTTACAGTCATCAACGATGTACGTGTATAATATGTACATCATACAATCGTTGCTGTTAATATCCGACAATATTTTTTCGTTCTCTGGTAGTACATACATACAGTATTACCGCATATTCACCCAATTTAGTGTATGTTCACAATGTACACATGTACAGAAAGACTTTACAGACGACATTCAAATGAGACCTCAGAAACTGCGGCTAAAGCTGCGAGCAGGTCAGTGATGGCACCACTGTATGTACCATTGCCTAGTGCTAGAGCTGGGAGTAATACATGTAGTTTCATCTCTGTGGGCCGGGATCCAATAAAAAAGGAATCCTTATGTCATTGAGGCTGGCGAGAGTATGCGCAGAACAATTCTGGGAAATGAGATACGTACGGGTGCCCAGGGTCCTGGACAAAAGATGTTCTCCATTGATCCAGTGATACATGGTGCTTTCTCTCTGCAAATCATATCACATGCATGCCCCACATGGCCTGATAATTTCGACCAACTCAGTTACACACCAAAACTGTTGACGGTAATGTGTGCATAAAGGATAATGTATACAGGAGACATTGCTCTGGACTGACTTTTAGTTTGTGTGTGTGTGGTGTGCAGGGAAGCCTCAGCAGTTCACACTAAACTTCAGACCGTCGCGCAACTTTCCTCTCGATGTCTATTTCCTCCTGGACGTGACGGGCTCCTTCTCTCAGAGGTTTAGAGATACTGTCACACCCCTGGCCACTGAATTAGGTCTCTCTCTTTACCTTCTGACTGGGCCATCTGATTCCCTCACTCTCCCTTCCTCTCTCTATACTTCTACTACAGTCCTTGGGTCTCTCTCTCTCTCTCTATTCTACCCTAAATCCCTTCTCTGCCTCCCCTCCATCTCTTCGTTGGGCTTGGTTCACAATATGTCACATTGGCTTGTCGCGCCGTGCCGTGAGGTAGACTCCATTTCTATCTTCGCGGCAGGACGCAACGCGGCACGGTGCGACGGGGCAATGCGCCATATTGTGAACCTAGCCTTACTCTACTCCTGTCCTCCCACCCCCTCTTCTCTCTCTCTCTCTACTCTCCATCTTTCTGATCCTCTTTTCCAGCATTCAATATTGTTACTTACTTTACTTACTGTAAGTATGTTACAGTGAACAAGGGACACTATGGGGGGAACAGTTTTGTCCCTTGTAGAGAGGTCGTCCTTCTTATTTCAGAGGTCAAATAACACACTTGCATGGGGTTGAAACAACTGTCCTTTGTAAAGAGGTCGTCCCTATCTCGGAGGGTCCCTTATCGGAGGTTCAACTGTATTTTTTCTGCAGTCTCAGCTCTTCAGACTATATCTGAGAGATATGCAGTTGCATTTGGTGGGTTTGGCGACAAGAGGGCCATACCATATGCCCTTCCCAACCAAGACCCTCGAGCCTACATCACTAACATCAAGTATGTCATGTATTCTGATATGACGAGCTCCTGTAGATTTCTGTGGTGATATATACAAGAGTAATGCTCAGGGCTCGCATTTCAAGCTGCCTGAAAAACACTGTGTCTATACAGCAGAGTGCCTGGGTTGAGTCTCCAAAGCAGCTCCTTTATAAGTGTTACCTTACATGGTTTAACTATTTACACTTGCGTATATTATAGCTTTCGTACTCTCTAGTTTCTTTGGTAATCCTGAGCGATGTGCCAACCAACTGATAACCAACGTGGCTGACTGCAACCCAACCATCAGTTTCAGACACACGACCGCTCTCTCTCCCCTTACCACCGACCAGCTACAGGTGTTTGTATTCTCCCTCCCTCCCTCCCTTTCTCTTGTTCTCTTCCCTCTCCTTCTCTTCTTATCTCTTCTCTCTACAGTGGAATACATACCTCACTAGTGGGACAGAAGAAAGTGTCTGTCCCCTTTTCATGTACGTATCACTATGTATGGGTATTTTCTCCGCTGTAGCAAGTGCTGGCTAACATATCAATCCATCCAAATGTGGACTCACTCGAAGGAGGGATGGATGGTCTTGTGCAAGTCCTCACTTGCACTGATGTACGTACATGTGATGTACATGTGTGTTTAGCATAATACCTACGAAGTGTATTATAGTCCCAACCTATTAGTGTTTGTTCTTCCTGGATAATGTATGGCAAATGCAAGGGACAGCGAAATAAAGGCAAGAGAGGGATTGGTGAAGCAAGATTGGGATAGTTGCAGAAACAACAGTACATTACTATTCCATACTACAATGATAGTCAAAAGATTAAGGATAGTTGGCTTGTCTCTTCTTCCACTGGTGTGCATACAAAAAATGCAAATTCGTTTGTTGGCACCCTTATTAGTTAAGAGACGATGAAATAGAGGCGAAAGAGGGATTGGTGAAGCTAGATAGAAATAGTTGCAGAAAGATAGAGTACATTACTATTCCAAACTTTAATGATAGTAGAAATATTACGTGTAGTTGGTTTGTCTATTTTTCCACCAATGTACCTACAAAAAATGAAAAATCGTTGGCACCCTTATCAAAGTTTGGTTAAATAGAGATGAGAAAGGATTGATGAAGCTAGGCAGGAATAGGTGCGGGAAGATAGAGTACATTACTATTCCATATTCCATTAATAGTCAAAATATTATGGATGGTTGGCTTGTCTGTTCTTGTACTGATGTTCCTACAAAAAATGCAAAATCGTTGACACCCTTGTTAGAGGTTAGGGGGTGAAGTTGCAAAGAGACAGCGAAATAAAGGTGAGAAAGAGGTTCATAAAGGTAGATAGGGGTGGTTGCAGAAACACAGAGTACATTACTATTCCATACTCCAATGATAGTAGAAACATTAAGAATGGTTGGCTTGTCTCTTATTGTACCGGTGTACCAACACAAAATGCAAAATCGTTGGCACCCTTATTAGAGGTTTGGAGGTAGGAGACAGTGACAGCGAAATGGAGGTGAGAAAGGGATCGATGAATCTAGATAGGAATATGTGCAGAAATAAAGAGTACATTACTATTCCATACTACAATAATGTTAGGCATGGTTGGCTTGTCTTTTCTTCCATTCATGTGCGCAATATCGTTGACACCCTTTTTTAGGGGGGACAACGAAATCTGTGCAAGATAGGGATAGGTGCAGCGAGATAGAAGATGTTACCATTCCATACTCCAACTCTAGTCAAAGTATTAAGGATAGTTGGTTTGTCTCTTTTTCCACTCATGTGCCTACAACAAATGCAAAATCGTTGACACCCTTCTATTAGTTTGTAAGGTTGATTGGCAAAGGGACAGCGAAATAGACGTGAAAGAGGGATTGTTGCGGAAGTACAGAGTGTCTTACCATTGCATACACCAATGATCAACTTGTTATTGGCAGCACCCAATGGGCTTTGAATGACATTCATGCACATTGTCCAGTGTAACAACAGCGGCCTTCGGATGTATACATGAACAATTATTTTGTCACCTTACTAAATATACAGGTTAGACCAATCAAATTACTCGATTCAAATGAGCCATGTACTAATCTGTTGTATATTCTACCCACAGACAATAGGCTGGAGAAACCAGAGTCTGCGAATGCTGCTGTACATGAGCAACGCCAACTTTCACCTTGCCGGCGATGGAAAGGTATGTCCTACATATTACATGATATCCAGATTAGCAGGCTTGCATAAGTATTATTTAAAGGGGATGTGGCAGTATCTGAAGGCTAAATATTTAGAAATGCTACTAAAAAAACGGAACTCGATTGCATTCTTTCACTGTGCCCCTAATGGTTTGTTCTATCTTTAGTAACATTTCTAAATTTAGGCCTTATATACATACTGCCACATTCCCTTTAATGGGGGAGGTAACTGTAATTAAGGCTTGGATGAGTCCCCTAAACAGTGGTGATAAGAGCTGCCAACTGTACACTGTTTGTTGTGACCTTCACTCTCGTGTATTACTATGCTACGTATTTTTATAGGAGTATATAATATAGATAGACGTGAACAATGCATGTTCGTTCTTCCATATAATTGTA